AGCAGTTATTTTCAGTCATGAAAGGTAATAAGTCTCCTATTAGAAACCGTATTAATGATGCTCACCTTGGGTCAGCGTTGAAAGTTATCACTGCAAACAAAATTTCTCCCGAAATAGGAAAGATAATAGCAGAGAAGAGATGTCAAGTATCAGGACGTAAACATTAAATTTTTCTTGTTCTTATATATATATATATAATATATATATATATATATATTGTATTATTCGAAATAAATCTACGTTTCTATGAATATTTTTTTTTTTTTTTTTTTTTTTTTTTTTTTCGGCCCGCCTAAAGTTAAACCTTGTTTGTTTGGCCCAAGTGTACCTATGAGTTTGACATCCCTGTTGTAGTAAAAAAAAATAAATAAATAAATAAATTAAATAATTTTACTACTGCTATTATCAAGATATATTCGTCGCAAAATACAAAACGTATTAAAAGTTTTTGCTTCAACATTTGCTGAAATCTCTACAAAATGTTTACAACAAATTTTCTAAAGAACTTTGTAGAGACATTAGGTTCATTTTTGGAAGCCAGAGAGATGAAAAAATTAGCAAGCGCCTTCGCCGGTAATCGAACCACGGACCTCTGGAATACCGGCCCAGCGTGCAACCGTTACACCACGGAGGCACGCTAGAGAAGTGGAAGAAATACCTTATAACTTTTCTGATCCGAATATTATGTAAGTTGTGTTTTAAAATAGCGCAGAAAAAGAGGTAAGAACAATTATGTTTCTTTTACACAAAAACACAAGAAATATTATGAAACACAAATAAATGTAATAGTAAACGACCTAACATTACTCAGATCAACATAGTGTTTGTTGGGAACTTTTAGGGATTATAATTACTGCAGTGAATATTTATAATTACAACCAAATTCCAAGTCTCTAAAAGACACGTAACTCCTTTTCACCTTATTAGAAGTTATTCTGCGTTCGAAAAGAGCACGTGTAACAAAATTCGAGCTAACTGTGAAAATTATGAACTGACTAGCTCAGAATTTGACATGAAGATTTTTAAGTACAGTTATGCAATTCATGACTGAAAATTGTACTAAAAATATATTTAGATATATTTATAATGCGTTATTTATGTCTATGTTACGGTGAAACACCGAAATCCGGAGAATGTCGACTTTCACCAGTGAATGTCAACAATCACCTAGTCGCTTGGTGTATGTCCGAAATATTTTCCAAATACTCTTATTTCTGACTTCCACCAGTCAATGTTGACATTCACCATGTACTAATGGTGAATGTTCAACATATAAGAATATTTATATTTTCTTCTTCGTCATTCAGTCGCGAAAAAACGCACTTAAGAGTTAAAATAAGAACTTAAGAATATAAGAACCTAAAACCCACGGTGCATTCAAAATGAGAAAGGAAAATAATAGAAGTTAAAAACTTACTTAATTATACAGTACGTTCTAAATGAGAAAATAAAATAATAGTCATAAAAAACTTACTAAATAATATGATTCAAATCTTATTGATTGCAACAATTTAAACTATTATGATACTTTATGACCTCTCTTTTGGACCTACACCAGAACATACAGGTGTTGGACAAAAATATGGAAACACCTTTGAAAAAACATGTTTCTTTGCTTAATATGGTGTAGGAAACCCGTTGGCATCCAAAACAGCTTGCAGTCTTCTCGGAATGGATAAATACAGTTCCTGTATGTTTGCCAAGGGAATATTATACCATTCTTCCTGCAAAACGGTGGCAAGTTCAGATAACGATGTTGGCGGTGGATAACGAGAACGCACTTTCCGTTCCAATTTAGACCACAAAGGTTCGATAATATTCAGGTCTGGTGACTGTGGTGGCCAGGGGAGATGGGACAACTCATCCTCGTGCTCAGAAAACCAGTCCTGGACAATGTGAGCTGTGTGAACAGGGGCTTTGTCGTCTTGGAAGACACCATCACCATCGGGGAACAAAGTTTGTACCTTGGTATGAACTTGATCGGCCAAAATGTTCACATGGTAGTCATGTGCCCTGACACAGTTATCATGGGGCTAGCAGAGAACCACGAATGGCTGCCCAAACCATAACAGAACCCCCGCCATGTTTCACTCTTGGCAACAAGCAGTCTGTATTATAGGCTTGAGATGGCGTTCTCCAGACGTAAACTCGGCCAGAAGTGGGAAACAATGTGAAAGAAGACTCGTCGGACCATATTACTCGCTTCCACTGCTCTGTAGTCCAGGCTTTATGACTTAAACACCACCTTTTCCTGTTACGGGCATTAGCATCACTGATGAGTGGCTTCTCAATTGCAGCACGGCCAGCAATTCCCCTGTTTATGAAGCTCCCTTCTAATTGTTTTGGTACTCACAGAGTTCGGTAACGCAACATTCATTTCAGCAGTAATTTTTGCAGCTGTGGTCTTCTTATTTTTCGTCTCAATTGCCCTTAATGATCGTCTGTCACGATCACTCAGGACACACTTTCGTCCGCGCTGTGATTTAGCAGATGATGTTTTTCCGCTTTTCAAATATGCGGAATAAATCTTCGATACAGTACCTCTTGAAACACTAAACAACTCGGCTACCTTGCTTACGGAAGCACCTACCATACGTGCTCGAACAATTTTCCCACGTTCGAAGTCTGTTAACTCTGACATAATGCAATGACAACCTCACATAACAGTACTCCGACAACAACTGAGCTGTTTAGCACATTTACGAAGTTGTATAGGTGGCGTCAGTAGTCAAAAACGCCAGCACCACCTACATATTTCATTAAAATCAATCTTTCTTTTCAAACATGCATTTCACAAGGTGTTTCCATATTTTTGTCCATCCACTGTATCTGTGACTGTCGACATACACCGGTGAGAGTCCGAATGTAGAAGAATGTAATGCAATATTCGATCTTTCACCGACGTTTTTGGTGAATGTTGACATTCTCCGGTGAAAGTCGACATTCTCCAATTTCGGTCTTTCACGGTAACATCTATATTTTGTACATTTAAAACATTGTAAGCTATGCAAAATAAGGAATCTGACGAGCTCTGACCTTCATTCAAATACTGTAGCCGGTATTCTGACCTTCATTTAAGAGGTCAAGGACACGCGAGGCCAAAAATTACCATTTTCATCGCTGGGCAGTTAGTTATCAGCTTTCTGAGGGTAGCTAGAAGAGGTACACTGCGAAAAAAAAAAAAAAAAAAATGGGACAGTGCCATATCTCTCGTTCTACTCGGCCAATTGACGAAATTCAACTTGCGTCTTTCCTGTCTCAAAAGTGCGACTTAGAATATGTATTAAACTTTTATATAGCATCATTCTAATATAAGTATTTTGACACAAATCGGAGTTTTTCTTAAATAACATACCAACTTTTTTTCCATATTTCGATTCTACGACTCAAATTATGCCAAACAACTAAGTATTGTAAAAATTGCTCGAGTAGGTTTTTAAACAATTAGCTCCCAAAATTCGAATATTATTATATTCGAATATTACTAATATCTCTTTTTATAATATTCGAATCTTATCAATATCTCTTTTTTATTAAACTTATAAGGCATTTCTCTCGCCTTCTTAGCGTGCCTTCGTAGTGTAGTGATCTGTACGCTAGGCGCGTATCCCAGAGGTCCGTGGTGCAATTCCCGGCGAAGGCGTTGCTCATTTTTCATCACTCCTACTTTAAAAATAACCTAAAGACTCTACAGTTAACTTGCGTTTTATGTATAACATTATCCTAACGCAGGTATTTTGACACAAATCGGACTTTTTCTGAAATAACATATCAATTGTTTTCCATATTTCGATTCTACGACTCGAATTATGTCAAACTGTCAAGTTTATAAAAATCGCAAATTTATAGTAGTTTTTAAACAATTAGCTCTCAAAATTTTAGCTCCTCCATGTTAATTGAGTTTGGTATATATTTATAAATATCTCTTTTTTTCATTAAACTTATTTGATTCTTCCTTTCACATTTCAAAATTTACGTTCATTCCGAATAAAATTCGCCCATTTTTTATGATTTATTTTTAAAATCTGTATTTTTAAATAATAGCTATAAATTTTTCGAAAAGAATTTGAGTTATAACCTATCAAATGTTTACCATCATTTCAAAGTAGATGTATTTCCAAGCATACCTGCAAAATTTAGAGTTCTTTTATTCAAAATTTCCTGATATATACCTGAATTTATATAGTGGCTCGTTTTGAAATTTGGCACATTTGTTGTAAGCGATAATACCGCCAAATATGGTTTACGCACGTTGTTAAAATTATTTGAAAGTATGAACGGTGGCCTTTTTCTCCACTCGTGTACAATGAAAAAAAGGAAAGGAAAAGAAGTGAGTTATTCTCGGCGGAAACTCAAAAAAATGCGCCAAGATAAATTTTTAAATTTCTCCATAAATGAGTCACCAAAAATTACAAAATTTAATATCTAGGCATAATTTGAGTCGTAGGATCGAAATATGAAAAAATATTAGTATGTTATTTCAGGAAAAGTCCGATTTTGTGTCAAAATACGTATGTTAGAATAATGTTATATATAAATGTAATATATATCCTAAGTCGCGCTTTCGAGATATAGAAAACGCAAGTTAAATTTCGACAATCGGTCCAGTAGAATGGGAGATATAGAACTCTTCCATTATTTTTGGTACAAGGTGTACAGTTGAAAGGTAAAAGAATTTCGTATATATGTTTGGATGTCCAAAGTGTATGCGCATGCAATCAGTTCAGATTTACGAAATATTTCAAATGTTAAACAATTTTGCTGGATAATTTGTACGACTGATGTTAAACTTTGTATTTTTTATTTTGGGACCATTAAGCCAAAAGAAAACACAGTAAATTTCACGATGAATCAAAGAAATGGCTGAAATGCGAATATTATCTTAGTTGGAGACTGCTTATTTTTTTAATTGCTACAAGAGTTTTACTTAACAGTTTTAGTTTTGAAATAAAGTCTTTTTTAATCTGAATTATTTATTAATAACATGTTTGTATTTTTAGGAATCTCGATGTGGTTACGTCATCCTGCTGATGGCTTGTTATTGGGTGGTGGAGCCGATTCCCGTCGCCGCGACCTCCCTTCTACCAGTGGTCCTCTTCCCGCTCCTTGGAGTCATCAGCACCAATGAGGCCTGTTCGGAATACATGAACGTAAGTTGTTATTCACTCCAAGCGGAATTGGAAGCGTTTAATCATCGGACCAGCCTCGTTAAACTTCTTTACTGCTTCAGCAATTTAAACTGGAAATATTCCAAAAAATATATTTTCTTATTGAATATTTCAGCGTTACAGTAAGAGAAATGTTCTGTGTAAAGAATCACCCTATCAACTTGGAATTAAAAGAATTTACATCAGCTAATCGCATCAAAGTTGCTTTATTCTCAAGTAATGCAATATTTGAGGGTAGGCTCCTGCTTTTGCAGCGCAGAAGGTAAAAAACATGCCAGAAGAGCAAAAAAATTAAACAAAAATTTCGAACCCTTTTTTATAACTCTAAGCAGTAAAGGGTTTGGCAGGTGAAGACATCCGGAGGGAAATCTTTCGGATACTTTCCTCAATTTACATCCCAAATGTTAATAGTATAATGAATATAAAAAAAAATATGGCAATGCTTAACTCTTGGTAAACGTGAGCATTGATTAGCTAAATGCGCCCACGGCACACACATTCGCTTTTTCTAATATAAGATTTACGTATTTATCCATCATGTCTGGTTTATAAATTAAATTACTATGTTAATATTATAAATTAAATTAATATGTATGTGATGTACCAGCTTTTGTCCGGAATAAATAGAATGCTGAAGAATCATAAATGTAGTCGTAGCTTAAATAATCAGACGATAAGTTTAAAAAACAAGATCCATTATTTATTATTCAGGAGAAAATAGCAGTTACAAAAATCAGATATCCGGAGTAAATAAAAGAATTACTAATAACTTTTTGTATGAAGTTTACTGCATCGTGACATTTAAGAAAAAGCCCCGATATTCTTTTACGAGTCTTTTTATAGCCTCTGGAAAGGCGGAGCTTCCAAGAAAATGACGTCAGCCTCGTCAGCCAATCCAGTTCGCTTGAAATATTTCCAGAACATTCTAAAACTGTACGTGTAGAAAAGGCGGGAAAAACAACTTGACTACGGGGCTGTGGATTTAATTCCACGTACTTTCAAATAAGAGAACGTCGCCATTAAAAATGAAAAGAACATACATTTAGAATTTTAAGTGTATTCTTGAATATGGAATTTTATTATTACATGTATATATTTAAACTACATGTAAATTAAGTTCATATACGCTACCTGACTTTGAAAATGCAACACCAAGAAGGAGTAGCCGGAAAGTGATAAAACTCGGCAAACAGAGAGAGACAGCAACGAACAATAAGTGATCTTTATTCCGAAATGATACGCATAATACAGAGCGAAGGCTCAGTAGGTTGTAGGACCGCCTTGGACGGCGATACACGGAGCAACACGTCTAGGTATCATTGAGACTACGGATGGAGTCCTGAGGAATGGATTTCCATTCCCTGAATCGTTTGCCATAGTCCGTCTTCTGGACGCGGCAATGACAAGGTCTGCAAATGGCGTCCAATCACATCCCAAATGTGTTCGATTGGTGAGGTATCAGGAGAGAACGGTGGCCAGGAAAGCACCTGTACATATCAGCCAACGTTCAGAGTACGTTGGCTGATGCGAGCAGTGTGTGGTCGGACGTTGTTCTACTGAGAAAGGGCATTCGGCACTCCCTGAAGGTAGGGGAATGGCACCGTCCGCAGCCCATTATCCATGCGTCGTTGAGCCGTCATAGTGTCCTAAATACGAACTAGAGGTGATCTGGAATCGTAAGCAATTACGCCCCAAACCAGATGCCGCATTTTTAGGCAGTGGGGCGTTCCACAGTTGCTGCCGATTGGACCTGTCTCTACATCGACGCCACACTGGTACGCGTCGACTATCACTGGAGAAACAGAAACGTGACTCATCTTAGAACACTGCCCTGTGCCATTCCATCATCCACATCGCTCGAGCCCGGCGCCATTGCAGACGTTGGCGTCTATGATATGGGGGTCAATGGCAGTCTTTTTAACGGACGCCACGAGTGCAGGTCACTAGCCACCAATCGACAGAAAATGGTTCTGGTTGATATGGGAACATCCATGGTGTCTTGAACATGCTGCAGAATGGAAATAGAAGTGGCTTGCGGGTGCGCCACCTCTTGTCGACGGACCTCTTGTCATGCGTGCTGATGTCACTCTGGCTGCTCTGGCACCCCTCGAACTTGCCACATTTTCTTGTTCCAGTCATCATCGCCACAGCCAGAGTACACTGTAGACGCGTCCAAGTGTGTGTCAGCTGAGATTTGCCGTATGCACCAACCTGCCCTTCTCGGTCTCATCCCCATGCCCCTCGTAAAATCGTCTGTCTGCTGGAACTGCTTCTGTTGACGACTGTATCACGGGGAAATGGTGTATACACCTGGGTACATGGGCCGATGGCCCTACCCCTATTGTATTAAATTAAAAATTACTAATTATGTGTCCATTAACACAAAGAAAATTTCTAAAAACTATTGAGCTATATGAAGAGGTTTATGTAACAAGTTAACTGCTAACAACGGCCTGACATTCTCTCTTATTACAAGAGAGATAAGAAAAAGTTTTCTACGATGAGAGAAGAAAACGTTTTCTACGATGATTTTCCTAACAGAAATAACGGCTCGGAAACTGTACACTCTGCGCGTTCCTTCCCATGTACCTTCTTCAAGGTGCGCTGGAGCGCTACGCATTTCACATTTTTTCGCATAACTCTGTGACATGGGTCTATCCTGAAATTTGCAAAATTATCAGGTCACTCCTTCTTGGTTTTGCATTTTCAATGCCGGGTAATGTATTTGGGGGGTCAACTTGCATACAGGCTTGCTTTTGTTCCATCATTTAGTGTCATTCTTATTCTTGAATATTGTGAAAAATAAACCTCATTGAAGAAAAACTTCAGTTATCTTGCAAATATCGTATAGTTGATTATGGGTAAAAATACATGTGTATAATACTGACTTTAGTAGTAGAAACCTTAAAATTATGTTTTCAACGTGTTCTTTCTTTCTGTCAGGGAACCAACATGATGTTCGTCGGAGGTCTCTTCATGGCCGTCGCCATTGAGGAATGCAACCTTCATAAACGGATAGCTCTCAACGTTCTGCGATGTGTGGGAGCCACGGCTTCTTGGTACGCATTTTATCACTTATCACTTATCACATCTTTTAAGTCTATTTCAGAATGTACATATTGAAAACTTTAGTTATTTGACAATGTCAGATGACAGTGTACATAAATATAAACGCGATGCATTTACAAAACTTTACGACAAAATTCGCAAAAAAAGTGGTGGAGAGGAAACGAAAGGAGAAAAAAAAAAAAAAAAAAAAAAAAATCTGATAGGTCTGAGATTTTAAATGTCGCCTAAAAGGGTTAAGGTTTTTTTACTCTTCCGCTGACCTTCGCAGTCACGACGACACTGCATGACAATAACTACACTAAGCAAAAGGCCATTATGAAGCTGAATTACAGTAAGACCCCGTTTAACACTGTTTCGTTTAGCGCTGTCTCGGTTTAGCGCTCTATTATTTTAACCCGGGGATTCTCCGAAATTGTGCGCAGCGCTAGGTTTCCAAATACCATATCCGAAACAGTGTAGTTGTGTTTGTTGTTTGGGTTAATCTTTGGATTATGGTAACTTGGCAATTTTTTGGCGAAAATTTGGCGACCAACCCTGCTACAGCAACCTGCTAGTTTTTTTTTTTTTTTTTTTTTTTTTTTTTTTTTTTTTTTTTTAGCTCAACATTTTTTCCCAATAATCTGCTAGCCGAATTACGCTTATGCTAGAACTTTTATGGAACAAACGCACTTAATCATGGCGAAGATTAGGTGCGAAATTGGGAGAAAGTGCAGAATTGCCGCGTTTTTAAGAATTGCATATATACGGTATTCATGTACATGTCGACCTATTTTCACTTGAAAAAGCATCCCAGAATTGCACAAAAATGGCATTGCGCACACTCTTGACTTTATCCATGTACACTGCTAAAGTCTTAGCTAGTAACCTTTATCGCCTTACCAAAATGTCGCCAAACTACCTGCTACCATATTCCAAAGATTAGCCCTTGTTTGGTGCGGTGCTGTACAGACGCATTTTTATCATTTGAAACATTTGTTGGCATTATTGCAAGCATAAATTTACATAGTACTATAACGATTAATACAATGACAAATATTATGATCTTTAGTTTTTATCACGAGTGATAATAAAAAACAAGAAAAGAAAGCAACCAGAAAAAGCATTTCACTGGAAACTAAAATGCAAGTGAATAGAAGATTAGATTCTGGTGAACGTCAATCTCAAATCAGTGCTGCATTGAATTTGTCAACTTCAACAATAAAGACAATTCTTAAGAATAAAGAAAAAATACTGTCGTCGACAACTGCAACTACGTCAAGCCCTGCAACTAGAGTTACAACATTATAGAGGAAATGCAATATGGATTGATAACGAGATTGAACGCAATATGCCATTAAGCCAATCTATCATAATGCCTTCTTGACAAAAGGGCAGAAAATTGGAAACACAGAATAGACTGAATGATCTGACTGAGAATTTTACTTGTTTTTATAAGTATATTCGTTTATATTGTTTTTATTTTTGTAAGAAATAAATGTTTGGTTTTATTTTTATTAAAAGAAACATTATTAAATTTAATGCCTAACCAATTTTCTACCCATCTTCCCCTAACCCAATCTTTAGCGCTATTTCGCATTACGCTCTACTTTGATGGAACGTATCCCCCGCGTTAAGCGGGGTCTTACTGTACTTTCAACCAAGTCATTATTTACAAAACATTTGCTTCTGTGGATAATAGTAAAATAGTGTACATATTACAATGAAATTCCCAATTGCAATTTCATGTTTGTCTTGTGGATAATGGCGACACAGTGTGCAAATTGCTATGGACGCACATATGAGGTGTGCTAACTGTTAAGGACACGAAGTTATGATGTATCGAAGTGGACAAGTAGTATTTACTTGAACGATGAACTTAACAAAAGTGAACATAGAATATCCTACACAACATCATATACTTTGGGCTATGGAACTATCAATTGCCTGAACTGATGTGACCGGCTTACTCTGTGGATAACTGCAAAAATAATACGGACACACAATCATTAGGTGTGTAACTGATAAGAACATGAAGTTATGATGTATTGAAGAAGACATAGGTTTTAAAACTGGTTAATATATAAGTTCCACTCTCCACAACATAGATCCTATCCATGATCGTATATTTATTTTCATACGGATTATTATGTAACAATTATTGTATAGATAACACTGTCAATTTAGCATTGTACTATTACTATCATTGATTCAGTGAATGCCGCTGGCGGTGGATGGTAGATTCTTTTCCGTCGCATGGACATATAACTCTGATTGGTGCCTTAGGTCGGAGGTCCATGCGACTGCATATCAGTCAGTTGACTACTTCTCTGTAGAACGCAAGTCATTCTCTGACCTTCAAGTTTAAATTCTTTGTGACTTAAGCTCTGTCTTTTGAAAAGAAATTAGTGCTTACTCAAGACTTTTGAAGCAGAAGTTTCTGTGACTGAAGTACACTTTCCCCTGTCTATGCAGATAATTATCCTTTCGTCTGTGGATCACAAGCAGAGCTCTAAATTTTGCCACCATCACTATTCATTTATATGTTTCAGAATTCCTTCTTGCCATTTGAACCAAAACTTGAAGACTTAGGTGCCAAAGTCTGGTTCATGCATCATTTTGACCTTCCTTTTCTCAATGCACCAACGAGAGAAATGTTTTCTTGTTTCTTTTCTCCAGTATCCTACAGAAATCTATGGCCAACATCTTTCCTGATGTTAAGCTCATCAGCTGTCATCTGAAATCATGCTGAATTTTCAACAACAGTTACCAAAATGTTTCGATATCTTTCGAAATTTTGAAGAATGATCACTCGTAGGTTCATCATCAAAATCCTCTCAACCAGCACGAAATGTATAACATTAGAAATTTTGGTGAATCTTCGGATTGTGGTAACTTGGCGATTTTTTGGCGAAAATTCGGCGACCAACCCTGCTACAGCAATCTGCTAGCTTTGTTTTGGACGCCATTTTGTTTTCACGAAGTAAAGGCATGTTTCTTTTTTGTTTACTCAACATTTTTTCCAACAATCTGCTAACCGAATTACGCTTATACTAGAACTCTTATGGAACAAAACTGTTTAACTCTTTCGCATCGAGAGACGACCAAATCTGTTTTCAACAAACATCGAAAACGCCCGTGTTTACGAATTTGTCTTGGAATAGTTTTCCTTTCCCCCTTTTGCGGTTTCATCCATTCATCCATTGTGCGCAGTTTCACCTTAGGGCCGGATTGCACCTGCGAACGTCAATAGCTTTCCGTATTTCTCCTTTATTTGCTTCAAAAGAATGATTGACATGTCTTTTAACAACTCGCGAAACCAATGAGCCATACACTAACGTGGAGGGGAAAGAACTAGGTAGAAAATAAACGAGGCGTTCGGGCGGTTTGCCGTTGCCTGAATGAACGGGCGCTACGGGCGATTTCGATGCGAAAGAGTTAATCATGACGAAGATTAGGTGCGAAATCGGGAGAAAGTGCAGAATCGCCCCACTGCTTCGCGCGTTTTTAAGAATTGCACATACGCGGTATCCATGTACACGTCGACCTATTTTCACTTATAAAAACATCCCAGAATTGCACAAAAATGGCATTGCGCACACCATTGACTTTATCCACGTACACATCGACCTATTTTCACTTGAAAAGTCAAAGAAAATTGACAAAAATCCAATTCTTCTTACTCTTGTAAAAATCGCCAAACAAATAAGTGGGCGATTCTGTACTTTAGCAGCGAAAATTGTTTCTAAGTGCTTATTAGCTAAAATCACGATCGGAATTTTCCGGAAAATGTCACATGACATGTCTCATGATCTCCCATTTCTCCGAGACAAAATAATCTGTGATTCGAACTGTATACTTCTCAGATTATTGGTAAAGTCCTACCTAGTAACATTTATCGCCTTACCAAAATGTCGCCAAACTACCTGTTACCATATTCCAAATATTAGCCAAAATTTTTAATACTTGTTCTCTGTATTATTCTACACACATCATATATTCTGTTGTAGTTTTTCTAGATTTAAAGTTAAACGTTATTTATTTCCTTTGTTCAGTTCTTCCAATCTATAACAATGATGTTGAACGTATAAACCAAACGGTTAATCACATTCAGAAAGCAGATGGTTCTTTAAAGGAAGAAAATAAAAAAAATTCTTAGGTAATACAAAAACCTTGAGTTGGGCGTAGAATTTTGTCAAGATCTCAATCAATTTCGAGGGCAAACAGTTCTGCAGATTCCTTTGCTGAGGGACCTGCACCTGTTTGCCCTCGAAACCGATTGAGATCTTGATATAAATCTATATGAAACTCAAAGTTGTTGTGATACTAAATTTTGACGTGTTTCTGTTCTGTTTTCTCTAGTAGTTAATCCACGAATCCTTACTTGGAATTAGTTGTTAGAAATGCCTAAAACGGACGTCAGATAATATTAACGACATATTACATATACGATTCATATAACTTAAGCAGTTGTTAACATATAACGTGCATTTTCAAAATGTGGACTCTTATTTTAATACAGTTGTAGAGACATTAGGTATTCTGGAAGCAGGAAAGATGAAAAATGAGCAACGCCTTCTCAGGAAATCGAACCACAGACCTCTGGAATATGCGCCTAGCTTGCTGACCACTACACTACGAAGGCACTAAGAAGACGGGGAGAAATACCTTATATACTCCCTCTTTTAAAGGGCGACTGAGTTTTTAAGGAACCCAATCGCCAATTCCTGGGTATGGAGAATCAACATCCACCACCCTTTTAGTTCGGGCGCCACTGTTGAGTCATTAGGTTATTTTGGACCTCTGAAATACGCGCCCAGCGTGTTGACCACAGTACGAAGGCATGATAAGAAGGCGGGAGAAATGCCTTATAGTTGTTGCATAATAAATTTCTGTAACATGTAATCCTTGTTCTACAGCTAATGAATATCCTTATCCTGAAAGAGCAAGAATTACTTGCTCTTGCAGAATGAATTCCTGTAACAAGTACTTCTTATTCTACATCTAATGAATCCTTATTCTGCAAGAACAAGAATTACTTGTTGTTGCAGAATAAATTCATGCAACATGTAATCCTTGTTCTACAGCCTAATGAATCCTTATCCTGGAAGAGCAACGATTACTTGCTCTTGCAGAATAAATTCCTGTAACAAGTACTTCTTATTCTACATCTAATGAATCCTTATTCTACAAGAACAAGAATTACTTGTTGTTGCAGAATAAATTCATGCAACATGTAATTCTTGTTCTACAGCTAATGAATCCTTATCCTGGAAGAGCATGGATTACTTGCTCTTGCAGAATAAATTCCTATAAGAAGTACTTCTTATTCTACATCTAATGAATCCTTATTCTGCAAGAACAAGAATTACTTGTTCTTGCAGGATAAATTCCTGCAACATGTAATCCTTGTTCTACAGCTAATGAATCCTTATCCCGGAAGAGCAAGGATTACTTGCTGTTGAAGAATAAATTCCTGTAACAAGTAATTCTTATTCTACAGCTAATGAACACAAACTACGTCACTAGGCGTTCGTAAGGTAGAGCAAGATTGTAAGATTGAAGAGTTATGAATCTTTGGGAATTATGTGATATATAATGACTGCCGCAACCTACACGTGCGTCAAAGGGTACATAAAATTTTAATCTGAAGTAACGTGACCTTGTCTGTTTCTCAAATTTAGTCAATTATGACATTTCTGATTTCCTTATAAAGAACAATGTCTAAGAGTCGAAATTTAGAATAGTTGAATGAGTTCAGTAGCATGAAGAAAGAAAATTTCAGAAAGTGTTCTAACAATGACAGAAATGCTGCCAGATTCCTCCGAGATTGCGTTTTAAATGAGAAGTGAATCTGTCCTCGTGAATTGTCAACTCTCGAGAAGAGAATTATGTGTTTACTTAAAGAAAGAAGTATAATTAATGGTTTATATTATGCAGCTTTTTCCCCTTTCCCAAACTAATAAATATTTCATTTCTACAGGATGATGCTCGGTTTCATGGCTACTTCCATGTTTCTGTCGATGTGGATTAGCAACACAGCCACAGCTGCTCTCATGGTTCCTATTATCGATGCCGTCATGCAAGAGCTTAGTGATAAAGCCAAGGAGACCAATGTTGCAAACAAGAGAAGTAATCTGCCATACAAAATTTTGGCTTTAATGTTATCTTTCCTTAATTGTTCCTATTTCGAAATACTAATAATATCTATGAGTAAATATAAATGTCAGTAATATCAAATTCCTCTTAAGTGCGTGCTAAGTATAGGGTGGCCCAGAAGTCACTTTACATTTTGAAAATTAAATAACTTTTTCTTAAATGACTGTATTTAATTAATTCTTTTTTATTTTTTGCTTATTCACATGTCCATTCAAATGGAAATGAGCTTCATCTCCCATGATCAACTTGTGAATAAACTTTGTCATTTCTTGCAGTTCTCTGAAACCTGACAGCATAATTTACTCGTTTCTGAAAGTCTGCTGGTTTTAAAGATTGCACTAATTGAACCTTGAAAACGCGTCACTAACTTCCTTATTGCAGGCCTACTAGGGGGATGTCGAACAGTAAAATGGCGCATATATTGCGTTGCAACAATTGACTGTCCATTTTCAAAGTAAAATTCAATTATCTTCACTCGTTGTTCTGTTGTAAACTTATCCATGCCAAAAATTTCCAGGGATTATATTTTTTAATTCTGAAAAGAGAAAAAGAAATATATTAATAGAAAAAAAGTTATTTAATTTTCAAAATGTAAAGTGACTTCTGGGCCACCCTTTATTATTTGAGAAAGTAACCTCTTTACTTCCTTGTATGAAGTACCTTTTTCCTTTTTTGTACCATCCCTTTACCGTTATGGTTATTGGTTTAGCGCCACGTCCTTTAATATCCAGAGCAAGGCCAGAAGAGGCCACATTTGAGACTCGCACCAGACGCCCAAACCCAGCGCCCTATTCAACCGGGTAGCAGTCCAGTCGACCAACTGGTCCTGGGTCCAGTATTAATTTGTTTCCAGGAATAAAAGGAGGCAAATGTGGCCCACCTATTAGGTGCCTCCATAATAAAGTGACCACCGCTTCTGGCCTTAGTTGTGGCCAAGCCGAAGTTGGCTGAGGGCCCACCATTGGGAAGAAAAAGAAACTCTTATGGCCTTGTTCACTTGAATCCAGGCATTAGCACAAAAGCGCCTTTGAAACGGGTTTCAAACTTCCACAAAGCGCGATCTTTTAGCTTACTCACAAAAATGCCATTGCGAATGATGACGTCAGACCGAACGAATTCAGCATTCAGTTCAACCCCGCTCTTGGTACTGATAATATGGTTATAGATCAAATTTGTCTTATACGGTTGTTTTGAGAGTACGTAAAACATCATTTTGAGTTCCATTAGTCTCCGAAACTGCTCGAAGGATTTAATTTCAATAACCGATTTTGAATAACGTTTCTAACTGCTTTCGCGAATGGGATCTAGGAGAATTATATCCAGTCGTACTACATCACACTTAAATAAATTAAAAGATGTGACCATAATATCTGCTGAAGTCATTCCTAATTTTCTTGTCCCACTTGCAACAAAAAAACAGTTTTATCTTGAAGGAATGCGTATGCTTTATCTTGGATTTAAAATGTGATTAATATTTTATCTTTAAAATGTATATTCACGAATTATCATATCTGAAAAATCTTTAATTAATTTTCTATTTCAGTATCCTTTGTGTCCGTTGATTTGAAGCGAGTGGTAGATGAGGAATCTCAGACGAATTCCTATTCTAAAGACAAAACAGATTTTTCCGCAGATCTTCCAAAGTAAGACTCTTTTTACATATCGTCCGAAAGGAAAGCAAGAACATTTTAATTTATTTTATTTGTCTATTTTACAATCTTAGTTATATAACTACTTTATTCTTCAGATTCTTGAAGATGTCAGGGAGTTACATTATTAGAATTGTAAAATGGTCAATATTGTAGTGGTAAAATTATTCACATAAACCCCATAAAGTCTTATTCGCGAGAAAGTAATTTGATAATTTTATTTTTAACATAAAAATACTGTGCTCGAGTACAAATTTTTATCTCAACAGATCTTCACTTTTATTTTCTTGTGAACTCAAAGCACTACTTTAGATAGTGATGATAAGTTAATTTTTTAACAAAGTTTTAGATTTTATCGTTAGTCCGATTATTCAGTTCAGCTTTATAATTTTTTTTTCATATTTCAAATGAAGATATTCATATTCAAAAGCAATACATAATTATAATAAAACAGTAAAAACCTGGAAGTTTTCAGATTTTATGTTACGCCTAAAGGGGCATTTGCTCATTTGCTCATTAATATCATGTTCTTTTCACTTAAACCATAAAATTTAAACCAGCAGCAATATCACAAAATATTTAAAAGAGCATATCTTTAGAATTTCTGATACACAGTCTCGTGCGCTGGAGATTTCTGTTTTTTCCTACAGTCATTGCTCGCTTTGAAATCGTCGAGTTTGTTAATCATAAGTTCTTTAATTTTTGACAAAACGTGAAATAGATAATAAAACAAATTCCAAATTTGGGCTTCCAGATGCCCATGTTCGAGTGGCAGACTATGTTATTCAAAATTTGATGTCTCTAGGTACCGTTGTTGTTTCACAGTGCGAGAAACATACATACATTCATACAGATTCTTCATTATTTAATTTCTTTAAATATAATGCAGGACTCTAATATTTGGGAGCAACAATTTATAGTGAACCGACACAAATTGCCAAAACGAAATTAAAAGCCCTTCTGGGCTAATTGCCCCTTTGGGCTAAAAATGCTAAAAACAGTAATATAATATAATATTTAAACCTACCACATTAGAATTTCTGACTGCAACTGTATTGCAGAGCAAAATGTAAAATTCCAAACTTTTTCAACCAAGTTCTTATATTTGAAATTCGCTTGTAATTAAAATTGGTTGTTACTTCGAAAATACTCATAGGTGGATTGAAACGTATGTTTTGATCGTAAAATACACTTAATTACCTATTCACGTCAAAATAATAGTGATGTTTACTCGTCGATTCGGAAAGCTATTCAGTATGCAGGTAAAATCATCATCAGTCAAAAATTCATCAATTTTTTCACATTTTGACATTAATGATTCATGAGAAAAAACATACAAAAATTCTCATTTGAGGAGTAGATTTCCTCACTTCGGAATTCTAAGTTAATGTTGGAAGTGAAGAATCTAAGAACTGATAAGCGAATAATCGCTGGAAGTTCGGTGACAAGAAACAACAATATAGAAGGGTAACTAACTCCTTTATTATTCCAATAAGATTTAACAAAACTCCGCCTGGGAGTGTGTACAAGCAAAGCCTGCACTTGGACTTGAAACTTAAAAGACTAAAGAATTAAACTAAAACTAACATTAACTAAAGAAGTATAGCCGAAGCTATCAAGGTTCAAATCGAGTTGGCCCCTTAACTTATTTGACTACGAAGCTTAGCAAGGGCCCGAGTACGGCCGAGCGTAATAACAGCTTTGAGAAAGAGAGAGGCCAAAAAGGCAGACGCGCGTAAATCAGAAACTCTGATTCTCTCTGACTCAGTAAGTAACTTCGTGGTTTAAATACCGCTCCTCCTCATTAAATATTCAGCAAGATTCCAAAAATTACATTTTGGACGGAAGTAGTAAGTTGAAGTTAAGAATTTGACAGGAAAGGAACTTTAGCTTAAAATTTAACTGTTAATAAAATTAACACAATTCTTACAGAGGAAATAAATTATTCTGTCTAGTCCAAAATTCATTCCTGAGTATTAAAGTTTAGATCTGCTCTGGCAAAGCAAATTCTGGAATTATTATCAACTGTGAAAAATTATTTCATTAATTACTGTTATCTTTAGTATATGCAAACGGGAAAAGAATTAGGAAAAGTACTTGATATCAAGATTAAACAGCATATTAGCTGACGTCTGAAATGAAATTCAAAACTGTCAGTGGAAAAAAAATAAAATCTATTTCATGTCATTTGTGCATAAACAGCTGAATTGACTCAATGCAGGAAGGTAGATAATGGAATCGGTAGTTGATTGACAAGGTAGTTTCTTTTCGCCTAGTTCCACAGAAAACGATCCATCTTTTGCATTCCATAACAAATTTCAGAAACATCGTCAATAAATTCTTGAAATGCGAATAAGGAGTTTAGAATCTCACTTTGAGAAAGAATTTCACTATTTTCGTCTTTTTCCTTTCTAACACGTGCTGATCATTCTCACAACAGTTCTTCAATAGTTTGCATTTAAGGGGTGTTGGATCCCCAAAATCTTCAAAAAATTGTGATTTCAGATTTTTGCATTTTCAAATTCTCTACACTTTTATCTTTCTAAAAATACCATTCTTTAATCTCTATGAAAGTTAGAACTGTAAAAAAAATCTAGTTTTAATTTGTCATCGACTGCTTTGATCAATGAGGATTTTTATATAAAAACACGTTTTTCTCCAAACTTGATTTTTTTATACTCGATGTACATTTTCTCAGGAACTACTGCTCACAGGTATCTAAACTTTTTATGGCTTATTTATTAGGTTCCCTAATATTTACGGAAATTAGCTTTTTGTAATAAACTTAGAAAAAAAAATTTTAAATTTTTTTGTGTGAGAAAAGTGCTAAATTTTTCTATACCTAACAAAATATTCTGCAATTTACTCTAAAATTCAAAATGTTTCAAAAGCTCATTTCAGTATAATCAGATAGGTATACTTTAATTACAGAAAAAATTTCAAGCTTGTATCTACAGCAGATTTTGAGAAAAGGTACATCGAAAATGGCCAATTTAACATTGTCGGTATAGGGGTTTCTGATACCTCTTAAAAGTCTTCATATTATTATCTACATCAGAATTTTTTTTATCTACATAAATCTTATCCGTTCAAAGATCTTCAAAACTCGTATCAATAACTCTGTAGAGACAGTAGAATTTTTTCGGGAAGCAGGCAAGATGAAAAATTAGCAACCGCCTTCGCCGGGAATCGAACCACGGACCTCTGGAATACCGGCACAGCGTGCAGAACCACTACACCACGAAGGCACGCTAGGAAGGTGGGAGAAATACATTATAACTCAATGATCAGGATGCAAGAGATACATCATTGGATTGAAAGTAAAACAGCCCTCATCTTCATAGATAATAAAACTTTAAAATAAAATTTCTGGGTACATAACTTGCAGGGTTCCTAACTCCTTGTCTAAGACGAAACGTCGAGGAACCTAGCAAACTATGTAGCGAATTATCGCTGAGTTCAGAGCAACTAAGACGTAGACTCGAGAAGGGTTAAATTACTTTATTTATTATTATTAAATTACATTTGCTTCGTTGAACACTGGTAGTTCGGTCCGAGGTTCGAATCCTCACGAACGGGCTGGCTACATGGGTGTTTTCGTAGTTTTCCTCATATCTAACATGTATACGAACCAATTTCCCTTAGAAAGTCCACCACGGAGGCATCTCTTCCCTTAGCCAGACAGCCCTCGAGGCTTTGCCGTAATCTCAATAAACCATCTTCTCAAACAAGTTATTTAAAAATTAATTCCTTTGAATTACCCGATGACAGACATTTGCATCGTTCAAAATCTAAAAAATAATGTCAATATTTTTTTAAAACCTATTATGATTATTGGTGGGTAAACAGTGCAATGAAGGCATACAAAATTTCCCTTCACGAAAGTGGAAAAAATCATGGGTACATAAAGTTATAAGCATTTCAAAGACATAAATAATTCATTCATGTTTATATGGAAGTGTAAATATATGTACGGGCGGAAAAGGAAGTTTGAAAATCATTGTTCTACGGTATTGCGAGGTACTTTAAAGGAACTTTATTTTTGATAGCCTGATGAACCAACCACTTAAAGAAAAGAAAAAGAAATGCGGTGAATTATATTTGCTGAATTTATTTATCTCTGCATTAAATAATTTACCTCTCCTAATATCTTTTCTTCTTTCATCTTTTCAAAAGATTTTTTATTTCTCGTTAAAATTTCTGAAGCGAATACCAATTTCAAAAAGAGAAACAAAAAGTTCGAAACTAGCTTTTATTCACTCAAATAAGAATAACAGTCGGCCCCTACTCGGGCTTTAACTCAGAATAAGAAATAAAAAACCAAACTATAATTAACTAAACGAGGCTTAGCCGAAGGTAGCCACAATTATCTAACATAGTTGGCCCTTAAATGAAACTAGCCGGCGGATATCAAGTAGATACATATAATACGGCTGAGGGTAACAGCTTCGAGAGTCACAAGGTAAACACGCGCCACTAAGAACTCATAGCACTCTCTACAGAAGTTATTTGAACATTCCTTAAATACTTCTTCCAACTCATTTGCATTCAACGTGATTCTAAAAACTCATTCAGTTGTAAGTCGAAACAAGAATTGATAGGAAAGGGTTTCCAAATTAAAATAACTGTTATAAAATTAAAATATACCTTACAACCTTACTAAAAACATTTATTTTATATACATGTAATTAGTATGAGATGATTAAATTGTAAGGTTTATTTATGTTAACTGACTACGTATTTTATGACTGTGCTGTCACTTCTCTCTTTCCGTTTTCCTGCCAGAATTCAAATTATCTTGAGTATATTTATATGAGGGTTTGAGATTGTTTTAGGCAGAGCGTGTTCTGGTGTTTGGTAACACGGGCAGCATATTTCACAAGTGCACATCTGTATAGCCACTGAGGGAGTGGCTTCTAGGATGGACCAATGAGTATCCAGTAATATTTCTGTCATGTCACATGACCTTCGCGTGCTGTAAGATTTAAGCAAGATGGTTGAAAATATTCTGCCATGCAATTTTCTGTACAAAATAATTAAAGAATCGTCGATTACTTCTGAAACTTTCCATTGCGAAGTGACATCAAATACAGGAAATTATGAAGATTTCACTACCTGGTTGAAATAAATACAAACACATGTTAGATACTTCGAAAAAATAAAAATATCGATGTGAAATACAGTCAAAAGTCTTTAATCCGGACTCGTCGGGACTTCGGCGATTCCGGATTATCGATTTTTCCGGATTATAGATCATCAGTTTAAATCTGGTAAGATGGCATGCAGAAATTATAAAACTAAAAATATGAAAACCGTAATTTATAAAATAATGAGCAATTATGATCTAAAGGGTATCCAAATTTACCAAAAAAGAAGCCTAATATTTATTTGTTTACTTTATTAAACATTTCTTTTAACGCGCGGATGCGTAAAGCATACCTTACTCATAGCCGAAATTAGAAAATTGCAACCAGAAAACTTGATTTAAATCATATCAAAGACGGAGTACATCGAAATTAAATACTACATTTAGTAAGGAATTATAAGCCGACTAAAATAAAAACATCTGCCCTGAAGATAACGATAGTGTTGACAGATCAACTTCCAGTTCATTGCGCGCCGCGACGTGCCCCCCCCCGCGCAGAGCAGCGTGAAATTGATAAACAGATTTCGGAACGGTTAGGTAAACAAAGGATATGCTTTTATTCATTTTTTGTAGCAATTCGGTTTTTGTTTGATGGACATCGAAACATACTTTCGTTTTCCTAGATCCTTTGGGAGCTCCAGCATCGGAAATTCTATTTGACATAATCGAAAGTTCAAACTTACTTTTAGAAAATTGCTCTTACAGTCTGCAAAAAATAATAAGCCGGATCCAATTTGAAGATTAAGGAACAACGCAATTATCAACATTAACTGAAATAGATAATTAGATAATTTTAGCTTATACCGTCCGTCATACATTAAACGCGCACGCGAAAACGTATTCTGCACTTGGGCAGATGCATATGCGCAGTCGTAAATGTCTTGCGCACACGAGTAAAACGCCTATGCGCATGCGTCAATGCGGCGCATGCGCAGAAAGATTTTAGCTTTGAGGTCCGGATTATAGATCATTCCGGATTACGGGTGTCCGAATTAACGACTTTTGACTGTATTACTTAATAAGTGGTAAATAAGATGAAGAAAGAAATATGTGATAAACATCTGAGCCCAAATGCAATCTTTACATAAAACTATGCGTATGAGAAAAAATATTTACATCAATTATGTAATTAGAAGTCAGCACTATTTATTGCAGTCTATATGAAAAGGATGTTCTATAATAATAACCAATGCAGAATTTTATTCAAAGTGAACTTTACTAATTTCCATTTAGTGCGTTAAATTTCACATTTAATAAATGCTGACTCTTAAATTTACTGTCTGCACAAGAAATACTCATCAAAGAGAGTGAATTTATCGTATTCACAACGAGTATTTTCAATTTATTCACATATAATTTTTAATGTTAACAATGGATATAATCAGATCCATATGTATTCTGAATCTTACATTTTAAAAATCAAAAGAATGCACGCACTGAAGTAAGAAAACACTAGATTCATTGTAACACTTTGTCATTCTCAGCTAAAAAAAAAATATACACTTGAATTCCCTTAATCCACATAATATGTCGTGAACATCAATCCTAATTAACATTAATGCGTGATAAAAATCGCGAAAGTGAAATGTCAGCGATTAATCAAACTCAGAAAACGAAAGCACTACGAGATTTTCTACTATTACGCCATATATTTAGAACTGCGAAACAAATGCAAATAAAGCGTAAACAACATACGCTGCTCACATGCAACGAATATTTAGCGTCACAAGAGCAATAGCAGCTCATTGGTCCATTTTCGAAACCCCTCCCTCAGTGGCTACGCTGATGTGCACTTGTGAATATGCACACGGTCGCCGCTTGGAATCTCGGTCGTTCTGAAATGCGCCGGGCCTCCATAGATCATTCCGTAGATTCCAAGAAGTTGTATCATTTCAAAACTCCCAAGATTCCCTGCCTTACGCCATGTTACGAAATGTCGGGGACTTTCATCAGGAAAATCAGGACTTAATTTTATGGTCTTTAAATACTAATTTGCGATCACGTTGTATTGAAATTTTCCATTCTAACATTTCTGCAGGTAGCTGTCGACGGTTTTCCTGCGACAATGCCTAATATCCTTAACTATCTCGTTAGAATTGCATTTCCGATCATGGGATTCCGAGTCATCTAGGTGTGCCAATCCTAAAAGTTTCTAGTTTTGAATCACCTTCTATACCTAACGAGATAGAGTCGGAAATAGTCCTGACGAGACATAATTGTGACACACTAATACGCTATACACCAGTATTCTATACACTAATATACTATACACCAGTACTATACAATAATTCACTAATATACTATACACTAAAAGATAGACACGATACACCAGTGCGCATAAATGTGACACACTAGTATACATTGACACTAATACATAAGTACCATATACACAAAAATACACATAGGTCATACTATAAAATACACTATGTCACAGGAAAACTAGAATACTAGAATTACTGGGAACAGGTGACAGGTGACAGCAGGGCCGGACACCCGGACGGCTTACAATGACTACTCGGGTGCTGTCCGGACCCTGCAACTATCTGTAGCTGAAACTTTAAATAGACATAAATATAGTAATTTGCAAATAGACCTGATCGTGTAATCGCACGATGTGTCAATGTACATAATGCAACACACTAAGATACTGTAAACTCAAAGATAGACACAATACACCAATACACATAATTGTGACACACTAATACGCTATACACCAGTATTCTATACATTAATATACTATACACCAGTAAACTATACAATAATTCACTAATATACTATACACTAAAAGATAGACACAATACACCAGTGCGCATAAATGCGACACACTAGTATACATTGACACTAATACATAAGTACCATATACACAAAAATACACATAGGTAAGGTAATACAATTATTCTATTATACTACTGTAACATACACGTGGATACAATACACTGAGATAGGTAGAAACTTACGCTAAATTACAATATATAAAAAAGTTAAGTATTGATACACATAGATACTGCGTAAATTCTATATATTTTAAAATACACTTTTGTGTAAATATTAATAATACACAGTACTACTACAGGTGTTACTCTGTATGTTCTTAGATCTTGACTGCATAGATCTGCAGTTCTTAGAGAGACTGCAAGTTCTTAGACTTGAGTTCTTCTAAGACTGCAAGTTCTTAGATCTTGACTGATCTTGACTTGCAGTAATACTAGAATTACTGCAAGAATGGTTTTTTTTTAATCATTAACCTTGAAGAGTCATTAGGTTAATTGGAAGCAGGAGAGATGAAAAATTAGCAACGCCTTCGCCGGACTATGAACCTCTGGAATACGCGCCCAGCGTGCAGACCGCCACACCTGCAGGGCATGCCCAGAAGGCGGGAGAAATACCTTATAACCTTACTATATTAGATAACACTAGAACTGCTTAAAGTAACGCTAGAAACTGTAACTTACTAAAATACTCCTATATTTTGCTTCATTTTGCTCCTATATTTCGTAGATTTGAAAGTTCTTTGGAATCTACGAAATTAAATTAATGAAAGAATAAAAAATTAATGAACATTGGAATCTGTGTTAAAATTCTGAAAGAGCCTCAAAATGTATACAGGGTGATTCAAATTACTCTTCTTCAAAGGGAAAATTGCTTATGCAGGAAAATTATCATCCGGGTTTGATTGTATTATAATGACTACATGAATTTCCAATGTTCTTTAAAATCTACGAAATTAAACGAAGCAAAATACAGCAGTATTTTAATTCTAATGTTACCTAAAGAACTATAGGAAGATTAATGATTAAAAAAAAAGCCTTCTTCCAGTTATTCTAGTGTTTTTCAAATCCAGAAAACTAAATGAATGAATGGTACTGTAGTGTTAATGTACAGTTTCTTTTTTATATGTATTCGCAAATTTGTATTTTTACTTCTTGGAGCATTTAATTTGTTGTAAGTATTTTCATTTTAAATGTCTATCATTCAAAATTTCAGAGACGGAGCTTATCGTGCCAGAATGGTCAGTGTCCTGAGACGAGCCATGTTTCTTAGCGTTGCTTATTCGACCAATATTGGCGGAACTGGAACTCTTACCGGAACGGGTCCCAATTTAGTCGTGAAGTCGGTTACAGAGAAGTAAGTATCCGAATATATAAACTTTCGAATCATCAGCAAAAAAAAAAAAAAAAAAAAAAAAAAAAGATTGTGTTAAAATTTTTATTGAAAAATAGTTAGCATTACCGCTTCGTAAAAAAGTCAAAAAAGAATCAGGAGAATTTATTTATTAAATTCTTTTGTTTTAATTTCCGTCGCATTTTTTGTTTTCTTTAAAAAGTGACTGTCAAAAGTACAATGCAAATTATCATCAAAAGACTGGCTAGATAGTTTATGGTTGCCGCAGAGGTTGCTGAAAGAGTAGATGGATCCAAGTTCCCTACCAAAATAACTTGTTAACCATATCTTGTTAATCAACACTTATTAAAATCTTATAACTACCTGTTATAACTGTTTATCAACTGTATGAATGTATGTTAAGTACTTTTTTCTAGACTATTTCCTGAATCCAATGACCTAACCTTTGACAAATGGATGCTGTTTAATATTCCAGTCATGCTGTTCTGCATTTTCATAGCCTGGGTATATCTCCACTTGGTGCACGTGCGGAAGGCGTAAGTAGGCTTCTTTAATGTTTCTTGATCGCTAGCATGAAATAAAATCCCGCACAGGTGTTCAGTATGTGACTTTCTTTACATAAGCATAGAAATAAACTTCACTGCCGTTCACACAGTAAAAGTTTGCAAAGCCACATTCAAGCCATGGGATTCGAGTTCGAATTACGGATAACGTAACGTAATTTTATATCCACCTCATGAACTGAATCACACAATGGGGACCAATATGAAACATTGGCCAGCGCACCCATTTCGGGCGTCTTTTAGACACACCAGCTGGGCCCAGGGACCCCCAACCCCGAGGCACCAACTATTTTAGGCTCCCTCTAAAACACCACCGCTAAACACGGGTCAGCCAGAACCACCGTTTCGGCCGGACCGAGACCACGGTGGGGCGGGCAGATGACAACTTGGAGCGATGATTGACCGTTCATTTTGGCTACCTTGCCAGTACTACGCGGGATGCCCCTCTCCTTAGGCTTCGCATGGAATACCAAGGACAGCAGTGACCAAACTATCAATGGTCCAATTTGCTATTTGGCTACCAATACTCTGGTGGATGAGAACTTACACCTCCCGGCTCATGAAGAGTGAATATAAGATCCATCTCAGGGACCATCAGGAACCGCCAAGTACATAAATTTTATACCCCCTGTGTCCGAGACTGCCTAGGTACAAATCCTAGCCAGTACTTCGCAGAGTACTCTACGTAGACCCACGTTGGGTGGAATTCCGGATAACTAACTATATTTTATTCCCGCCTTGTTCAATTAAGAACACTACGGTATCTGGATATAGCCCAACTGAAATCCCCCGATATCAGGCACGGGGCGGGCAAACCAGAATATAAGCCACCATAGAGATGGTAGAACACTCCAACTGAGGTCCCAGTGCCCACATCACCAGGACAACGGCTTCAAAAATCGATCTCTACCAGTAAAACTGGCCCACCGCTACACTGGTCAACCAAGACCACCGTCCCAGCGATCAGAGACCACGATGGGGTGGGCTTATAAACTTGGCGCTTTGACCGGACGTTGAAATGCTACCGCCAGTACTACACGAGATGCCCCTCTCCTTAGGCTTTACATGGAATAACAAGGACAGCAGTGACCAGACTCTCAATGGTCCAGTTTCCTATTTGGCTACCAATACCCTGGTGGAAGGGACTTACACCACCCAACCCATGAAAAGCAAGTATGAACTTACTCCATGGGCCTTTGGGAACCACCAAGCTCGAAATATTATACCTCCGTGGCCGAGACTGCCTAGGTACAGATCCTAGCCAGTACTGCGCAGAGTACTCTACGTCGACCCCCGGGGGGAGAATTCCGGATAAGACATAGATATTTGTAAATACATTAGTATGCGTTTGCACGATAGAAACACTTACGTATTTTTTTATTTGAAGGTTCTTACGAGAGGTAAACTAGTTTTATGTGGATTACGCATTCCGCCATGCAAGGTGCTGGCACTACGTGGCAAATCCGCCCTCAGAACCAGACCCAGGTGTTCAACTCAACTCCTGTCATCGCACCTTAGAGAAGATTGGTACCAGCAACCATACGGCGACGCTGGTCGTCTATTAGCTACCTACCAGTCGCTCGAACTGCCCGTTGCAAAGAGACATTACCCAGCAAACCCGGGTGGCTACCCCCCGGGCTACTAGAGCCTTTCGGTCTAGGACCTGCCAGACCCATGCGCGACGGCCAATAAGTGACCTTTCCAGGGCCTCCAGAACTACTAGGTTCGTAATTTGTATACTCCAGGGCCGAGACTGCCTAATTACAGATCCTAGCTAGTAGCTTCGCAGAGTTCGTCGACCCGGTGGGAGGCGAGGCACAGGCTTTCCGTCAAAATATCATTTGTTGTGGAGGCAGTATAACATGATTCTACATTTTAGTCTGTATGCCAACAAGGCAAATTGCTGCAAAAATCGTTTAGTCAGTTGACATCGGCATACTTTACTTATGAATAGCAAAGCAGCAGCAGCTGATATCGTAGCCAAATAAGCAGCTACTGATGCCGGTACTCGACCAGTTATTGCCGTATATCCGAGATCATATCTGAAGAAACTAACAGTTTCTACGTATAAATGTCAGAAAAAAAAACGAGACAAGACAGACACTGGCAGAAGAATTACAGTTTAATTCAAGTGTACCTAAGGTCTTCAATACATAAACTTCACTCTGATTTAATTTATAATAGGATATGAACCTTCTGTTTCTAGTCTGAAATGCTTCCCTTTTAGAGATAATGACGTGTCCTTGTTCGCAGGGGGTTTTTGACGCTCATATCGTTGAACTTTCAAATCAGCAAATGCGAAGTGTTTCTATCAAAGAAAGTTGTTTTGTGTCCCTGACCACTTCCCCCCCCCTTCGTGGAACAGTATCAACTAAGCAAGCTGTACTTAAACTCAAGTACCTAGACGCAGAACATTCTTTGTAACTCCAGTTAAGCACACAACAGAAAATACACGAAAAATACACGACTTTTAAAATTTCTACGACTTTCTCCAGCGTTTAACATTCGACTGTGTGATAAATATGGTATTATTGTGTTATAATGCACTTGAATAGAATGTTTCCCTTTTAGATATTTTTTTGCATTCTTTGTTTATCTCAGCAATTTTTCTTAACTTTTTTATTACTTGATACAGTGCTAAATATCTGTTCTTCTGCTGTGCGCAACGAGTCTATGCCTACTGAAACTTATAGTTGTATATTTATGCATGGTGTTTTGTATTTATATTGCATTTTGTATTTTCTACAATGCAATTGTTTGTCTATTTAATTATTGCGCATTTAATGTTGGCACAACATTCTTTAATTACACATGCTTGTTATGTTCTCTATGAGATAAACTTTTACACTGCTCGTCACTTTAGCAATCTGAATTATTTTCATTTTATTTAACATCAGATCTCCTTTTCTGGAGAATAATTTTGGCGGTAATTTGGCGGAAAATCGCCAAACTTGGCGACATTTAGTCAGGTTTCTCTATCGCCGTTATAGGCATTACAATTGAGTAAATGTAATCGATCACTATATTAGTTGCAACCGTAATTCGACCCTCATATTGCTTTCCAGTAATTTCGAGAAGCAGAAAGTACTAGAAATATCTCGGCGGCCGGTTGAAAACTGTACAAAGCCGGAGACAGCATCTCCTCTCAGTCAGTTGTTGTTATTGTTGCGAGTTGTTTTTGTGTGTAACGTGACATAAAAAAATCTAAAAGAGATAAGCTATGCCGGAAAAGTAACAATACAGGGGCAAGTGCATTTAACATTGAGTAAACGGGTATCTCGGTAATTTGGCGGAAAATCAGCGTGATATCGGAGATACTATTTCTGGATTAGCTTTCTCTTTAGATGTGCTTTGCCATTATGTTGTGCTTAACATTCTTACTAGTTTGAAACGTAACTACTGATTGTACTATGCGATACTGTGGGCACCTGCACCAGTATTTCTGTTGAGAATTCCAGAACTTGGAAGTGTTTCTGTGGATAAAATAAATTTTATTTACCTATCATCAAACCTGTGTCCATTCCCTCTATTACGAACTCGTACGCAGCAGGGCCCACAAGCGGCCGAGCGGTAAAGTCACTGAACACTGGTAGTTCGGTCCGAGGTTCGAATCCCGCGAACGGGCTGGCTGCATGGGTGTTTTCGTGGTTTTCCCATGCGTAACGTGTATACGAGCCAGTTTCCCTTAGAAAGTTCTCCGCGAAGCCATCCCTCCACTTATGCAGATAGCCCTCGAGGCTTTGCCGTAATTAAATAACTTAACCTAACCGTACGCAGCAATACACGTCTCCTGCCGTCTGTTCTGTCATCAAATCCAATTGCTGGGATTGGTAAAAGCTTACGGAAACACATTAAGATGAAAGGTTAAGAAGTGATGTTTTTCCACCGGTAATGATGTGTTCTTGATAAAGCCTGAGGTGGAACTGAGTGTGAAGTTCTACCTGTTGCATCTGAGATCTTTAGCCAACAGCAGGCCGCATCCAAGAATTCCACCGTGGTTATTCGAAAGGGAATTTTTATGCGACTATGAGCCTCCTAAGTGAAAATTAAGAATGATAACAACAACATAAACATTGGCACGCGCTTCTAATTTATACACGTGAAAGCGGAACGCTAGGCTGTTTCACAAGACAGTTACCAATCGAGACAAAGAGCGACCAATACTTTTCTTTCCATGCTGGATAGAAACAGTGATATGTTTTCAATGACTTTGATCTTCATGAAATGTACGGCAGGATGTTCGTGGCAAGGCAATGACTCATTGTGACATGTGTCTCATATCGTATGAATCTGAATGAAATTTCCTCCTTTTTCGGCGATTAAGTGATCTCCGAATGATTAACGCCATCTCATTCAAAGTTGAAACATTGCTTCTGGAAGAAAACAAATTAGCCTTGCACGTTAGAAGATTCAGAAAGCAGGATGAATGATATCATTATTTCTAAAAGATCTCGTGCTTTTTTAAAAAGGCATTTATTTCCTGATATCGTTACTTTCTAAAGGATTCTAGATATCGTTATTTTCTAGAAGTGGTCCAATTTTTAATACTAGAGTACGTGCTGCCCAACGGGTATAGTGGTTAGCGTCGTTGATTGCCGTGCCGAAGGGGCCCAGGTTCGAATCCCGGAGAAGGCACGGATGTTTGTAAGTGTATAGTGTCCGTCCGCAAGTGGGCACTGTAAATATGCAGCGAGCCGAAAGTACTCTCGAGAGGTTGATGGTAGGGGAAGAAGAGAGGAGACCCTTGGATCTGGTCCCGCAGGTTGCCTTCCATAAAAATGTGGGTGTTGCCAACAACAGGCGTATCTTGCGCTCCCTGCCACGAGGAGCTTCGTGGGCTTGGACTGACTAATAGGTCAGACAAGTCAACAACAATACTAGAGAAGACAGAGCATTCTGTATATATCAGGTATCAACGCTACTTTGAAAATAATGCGCATGATTCTTTCAACAAGTTTTAATGCACGTAGATTACAGTGAATATGATTTCGATTACAATGACAAGACAACAAAATAGCTCAACTCAGGGCTGGAGTAACTCAGAAAAGTTACTAGACTCGAGAACAACCATGAATTCGATATGCGTCAAAAAGCGTACTTGCAGGTAGTCTCCGATAACCATTTTAACGTAATAACAAAATTTGAAAAAAATGTTTCTGATCCTCCATCTTTCCTCCATATAACATTTTCTGAATAACTCTTTCCTCCATATAACATTTTAAAGTTACTGAACTCTGTAATACCTTCGACCAGGGTTCGATTCCAGATGAACGGGCTAGCTACATCACCACTTTCGTAATTTTCCTCATGTGTAACGTCGACTCGACACTATTTCTCTTCGAAAGGCCTTCACGAAAGCATCCCTACTATGCTTTGCCATAATCAAAATAAACCACACCTTACTAAAAGTGATTTAGAAGTAGTTTTAAGCTGTGGGCCGTCGGCTGTTACGTTCTAACTTTCATTAGAAATTTAAACCTTTACTTCTGATTAATAATCCGCTATTAAAAAAGTGCTGAATTGTTGAATAATTTGTCTAGAAATGCAAAGAGAAAAGAATGTGAGAACCTCTGTAAAAGAAAATTCGCAATTTTATTACAGGAAACCATGCGTTGCGCATATTTTTTTATGTTTATATAATCGTCGAATCGCATTTAAAAACTTATTTTCAGCCTAAAAGGGCTTATAATCTCGAAACACGTCTGTGTTGCTTGTCTTTTCATTCGAGGCTTGCCATATAGTTTTCAAATTTAATATGTCTGTGATTGATTAATTATCTAAGCCATTTAACCCTTTTACTTTGATTGAATAAAAAGGCATTAAATTGTGAGTTATATCTAACTAAAAACATTACATATTTTTATAAAATTGCGTTATCTATTTTTTTCACTTTTCAAATATACAGATGATGTTCAATGTTCCCATGTTAATCTAAATGTTTTGCAATTCTGGATCATATCTATTGATAATCTTTACTGATAAACCATATTAAGCTTTAAAACAGCCCATTTTAGTGACCCCCTAAAAAATGAACCAATTTCAGATTTATGTTTATTATTAAGCTACTTGTCGTCGTATTATTCACCAATAGTGATTGTGGAGTGATCGTTTATTTAAAATGAAAAAAAAAACTGATACATTTTATTCCTAATATTTTACAGAACAGTGGGTGCTATTAGGAATTGTTTTGCAGCTCAAGTGAGTGTAGGGTAGAAATTCATTGTAATAAATAAAGAAGTATATATACAATAGAAAGAGTTTTGTCATTTATGGAAATGTTATGCGTAATATATCATTTCGATGCCTTTTCAACAAAGTAAATATATCAAATTTATTTAAGAAACTTGGACTTAAAACAATATATTTTATTTGTTTTCATTTCATGTAGTATTCATTTTTATCTTAATCTCTCAGATCTGAAATTTATACAAATGAAATGAAAGAAAGTTTCAAGCAAATCATCGCCAAAAAACATGAAGAACTTGGTCCCATGACGTAAGTTGTTTATATTTCATTATTTTACAGATCTTACTTCTTCATTATTTTAGATTCCTACTCAGACTTTGCAAAGATGCTTCTTCTTTTCGTCATATTCTTGAAGAAGGAAAGCATTTCATCACTACGTCCCTTTTCGTTGAAATCTCTGTCGTTCTTAAGATTTTCGAGGGAACCGTAATTGATTTTCCGATCAGGTCTTATCGTTGAACTGTTACTGTGTTGTATTTTGGCAATGTCTAAGTAGATTTTAGGTTTTCGATGTTACCAAATCAGACTTATGCTTGTACTAAGTCATATTTCTGGGAAAGAGTACCGTCAGGAGGCTAAAATGGAAAGTTTAGAAAACAGCAGCAGGGACGAGTTAAAATACAGTGTAATTATTTAATAATATGTATATTAAGTAAGAAATTAAGAACTAATTTTACACAAAGAACAAAAATTGAAATTCATAAGCAATAAATTTCAGAAAGTCCTATAAATGTAAAAAAGAATTTAATAAATGTTAAAACTAAAATACTTCAAACAAGTAAAACCCTTTTTAAAAAAATAATGAAATTTAAAGAATATAAAAGAAGAGGAATTCAATCAACTTTAATACCACTTCGTCAGGAGGAGGAATATTGAAATCAATTAAAATCTCTGTTCTATAAAAACTCCAGAATTAGCGAATGAACCATTCCAATGTATTTTGATTATAATAGTTCACCCAAAAATTCTGCCCCGCCCCCAAGCAAGGAAAAAACAAGGTAAATTCTAATCAAAATGTTACCTTGAAGCAAAGAGAACTCTATCCAGGTATAGAGTTCTCTTTACTTCAAGGTATTCCTTTCTTTATATATAAATGTAAAGAAAAAAATGCAATTTTTCACAAAGACATTATTCTACATTTATAGGATTTTATAAAGTTCATTTCAATTTCAATTTTTAGTCTTTGTGAAAAATTGGTTCTAAATTTTTTTCTTTATATATTTACTGTTCAATTTTCAACGGCGAAAATTCTTGGAAGGATTATAAATTTTACTTTTAAAAAATTATTTGGATTTTTCTCTATATATGTGTGTGATAAAAACAAACTCAGAAGTAATGACCAGCAGGAATCTTCATGGTGTGGAAATATAGATCTCTAATGAATAGGAAATTGGACGCGAAGGCAGATTAAATCTTAATTTTTTATTTCAGCAAACATGTTGCGGCCACAAACAAGTTGGCACATTAAATGTGCCTATTCCAAAAAGTTTACATTTTAGATAAATTTGCAGCAAGATGGAAGGAGCAGACAGACTGCAGTCCAGTTAGGCCAAAATGTATAAAGCATGTTCAGGGTGAAATCTTAATTCAGACTGAGTTAGTTTGGGTTTTCAATGCATTTTGATTGTATAGTTAATATTGCTATAAAATGCCGCACAGTCAGTATAGTGGTCAGGGAAGCTGACTGCGATGCCGAAGGGCCTGGGTTCGAATTCCGAAGAAGACATGGTTGTAACTGTCCGTCCCTTCATAGGAAAGGCGATGGAGGCCCACCTATTAGGTGCCTCCATAATAAAGCGACCACCACATCCGGCCTTGTATAGAATAATGGACTGGGTTACATTTGTAATTGTTCACAATCTGCCATCGGAAAAAAAAAATATTGTTGTAAAATTACTATTGGTGTTCAACTTTTAGTTCCATTTACATCATCAGAATAAGAGTCGTATGACATAGATTAATCTCAAAATGACGCAGTGCAGAGAGATTACTATCTTTAGAATAGAGAAGGAAAATCAACTTTTATCCTGCTATTTTAATCTTTTACATATTCTTTATTTTTCTTATATATATATGTGTGATATACCAGCTTTTGTCCGAAATAAATAGATTTCTGAAGAATCATAAATGTAGTCGTAGCTTAAATTATCAGACGATAAGTTTAAAAAAGAAAACAGGATCCATTTATTATTATTTAGAGAAATAGCAGTTACAAATCAGATATCCGGAGTAAATAAAAAGAAATACTAATAACTTTTTGTATGAAGTTTACTGCATCGTGAGATTTAAGAAAAAAGCCCGATATTCTTTTGCGAGTCCTTTTATAGCCTCTGGAAAGGCGGAGCTTCCAAGAAATGACGTCAGCCAATCCAGTTCGCTCTAAATATTTCCAGAACATTCTATAACTGTACGTGTAGAAAAGGCGGGAAAAACAACTTGACTACGGAGCTGTGGATTTAATTCCACGTACTTTCAAATAAGAGACCGTCGCCATTAAAAATGAAAAGAACATACAGTTAGAATTTTAAGCGTATTCTTGATTATGGAATTTTATTATTACATATATATACACACACTTTTGGTAAAAATACGGTACTTCTTGATCTTCACAGCCCCCCGCGATAAACCACCAATGTATGTAAACCACATGAAATCATAACAGTATTTTTTTCAGTTTAAATATTTACGTAAGCCCGGTATTTTCACTTTCGACTTTTATTCACTAAATTTGATGAACAGCGTGATATGGTAGTAGTCTATTTTCAATTTAACGCTATAAAAAAAATTTACCGAGGAGAGAGAAAGATGCCCTATCTTTTTCCAGGAGAAAGATGTATTACCTCGCAATCGAATATGCGTAAATGACCACGAAATGAAATTATATGTGAACAAAAGTATTGGGTTGGCCCATAAGTCCTGGCGTTTTTATTTAAGTGAAAAGTTTGCGTGAAAAATATAATATTTCGGCAATGCGTTTTGTGTTAATCCATAGAGGATTATGTGCTCTACAAAATAGTGTATTTAGTTTCTTATGCAGATAGACCTTTTTCTTCTTTTTATGTTAATAAAGTGAAGTGTCAAGTTGGCAAAAGTAAATTTTTTTTTCCGACACTTTCCGCTTTTTTGCATTTAATCAAGGCACCAAATCTACATTTGGCATCTTGCTCGAGGGATTTGTGAAGCGTATGGCGAAGAAGCGATGCCTTCTGGGATGGTTGAAAGCTCGTGTAAATTATTCGGGCCCACCAGCGGCCGAGCAGTAAAGTCGCTGAACACTGGTAGTTCGGTCCGAGGTTCGAATCCCGCGAACGGGCTGGCTGCATGGGCGTTTTCGTGGTTTTCCCCATGTGTAACGTGTATACGAGCCAGTTTCTCTTAGGAAGTCCTCCACGAAAGGCATCCCTTCCCTTAGGCAGATAGCCCTCGAGGCTTTGCCATAATCACACACACACACACGTGTAAATTATTCAAAGAGGTGATTTCTATTGTACGTTTCTATCGCATTGAACAAATCTGTTGAACTTTGAAATAACGTTGTAAAGACTAATAGAGAATACATTATTGATTGATTTGGTTGTGCATTTCTTGTTGATTTTTATCGGAATCTAAATTTAAAATAAATGATAATAATAATAATAATTAATAAAACGCCAGAACTTATGGGCCTATCCAGTACGTGGAGATTCAACGTAAAAGGCTCTAAACAAACAAACAAAATGGAGCTTTCGATCCGATAACTGGTTTATTGGTTCCGGAACTACTGTTGTACTGGGCAGAGAAGCGCGTTGCTTAAATGGTACGATAAACACATCAGCATATGTCAAAATACCACGATTGACTGGAACAATTTCATGACAGAGGTTTGATCACTAAATTTACTTTGACAACATAAAGGGCAAATAGGTGAAGCCTAGTATGTAGGAAAAAAGTAGAAATTGAACTGGCTAGTGCGGCGATAAAACACCGCTGGCAACCCATCAGCAGCCGAGCGGTAAAACCGCTGAACACTGGTAGTTCGGTCGGAGTTCAAATCCTGTGAACAAGCAGCCTGCATGTGCGTTTTCATAGTTTTCCCCACATGTAACATGTATGCCAGCCAACTTCCCTTCCTCCACGAAGGCATCCCTTCCTTTCGGCAGATACCCTTCGGGTTGTTTGCCGTAATCAAATAAACTAAAACAAACTTCCACAATAGTGGATATTCGGCCAGATATGCCGTGAAAGTGGCGACTGTCTTCTTGTGTAGGTTCCAAATCGGGAAGCAAGCACACTGGTGGTGGTGGTGTATTTAATTATGAAAAAGCACACTAGGGCTATCTGCCTAAGGGAAGGGATGCCTTCGTGGAGAACTTTCTAAGGGAAATTAGCTCGTATACACGTTACACATGGGAAAAACCACGGAAAAACCCATTCAGCCAACCCGTTCGCGGGATTCGAACTTCGGACCGAACTACCAGTGTTCAGCGACTTTACCGCTCGGCTGCTGGTGGACCCAAACATACTGATATCAACGACTGTAGACCATGTAGTGCAAAGATCCACAGTATATTCAGGATGCTGGCAAACTTATAAAGAAGGCGAGCCTGAAAAGTCTGGTTACAGCTATTTAACTGTGAATCACACATTTAATTTTGTTGATCCAAGAATGGGCGCTCGCACTCAAAGTATGGATAAATTGTGGGGTTCTGTTAAAGCAAAGGTGTACAGCTCGACATCATCTAGAATTGCATCTTTCGAAGTTCGTGCGGCAGAAATCTTCTGGAAAAGATCAGAATTTTGATGCCATATTAAAAGCGATCGCGGAGTTACGACAGCCGCAAACTGTATGCGAGTTGTTTAAATTTGACGATAATCTTGGCGCGGTTTTCTTAACGGAGGGGGAGTTGAAAATCAAGTTCTATACCTTAAGCAAAAATACTTCTATACCTTAAGCAAAAGTTTAGAGAACAGAAAATGAAATACTATGCATTAAATGTTAAACTGACAAAAACTTTGAATACAGAATTTTACAATGTCTCAGATTTAAAATTACGTTAGTATGCCTCACATAATATTTAGCATCAGAGATATTTTTTATTAATTATTCAAATGACATTTTAATTTTCGCATATATATAATGAGCTTAATCTTTGCGAATAAAAATAAAATTACCGTGCATGAAAATTGCAATTTAAGTAATAAAAGCTGCAATAGCGGCACAAAATTTCAATAAATGTTCTGGCATTAACCCTGATAACATAAAAAAAATAACTGAATTTTACTAAAAAGTATATTTTTTCCGAAGTCTCTTTGTTGCATTCTTCGAAATGTATTATTTCGAAATGGAGTATAAATGAAAGATCTTATAGTTCCTTCACTGGCAACAGTTTTGTATTTTCCCCCTAAATGAAAGTCCCGTCATCTTTCAAAATTTAAATTCCAGAAAGTAAAAAAGTTATTTTATACCGAATACAAATTAAAAAGTCCTTAAAACAGAACGCCGTTGGCCTTGAACCAGATCCTAATGGCCTTGGCCTTCATGTTCACGGACGATTTGACGCTTGATTGCAACTCTAATTCGTTTGAACTACAATCATTTAATTATGATTTAAATCGAATAATAGCACTTTTTTTTAAACTCTGATTGCAGATTATTCGGTTTCTTGAGAATTTCGAAAACATGCATAGAAAGTTTTGATATTTCTGTCAAATATAATAAAGAGCGTTTAATCCTATAATGCGCTTCGAAGATATAAAGATAAGATTATAATTTTAATTGTAGATATTGAAATTATTATTGCAACCAATACATAACTGAGTACTACTTTGGTAGACGATTGCACGGATTTTTGGCGATTTATGTTGGCGCAATTGTTGGCGCGGTTTTTTCAGTCGTCAGTCATCTTGAAAAACGCCGTTTTTACGTATTTCACGCATAGTAAAGTATTCGAAACTTAAAAGAAATAAATATCGTTAAAAATACCGGATTAATTTTTTGTTGAAAACGTTGTTTTTTAAGATGGCTGGCAAATGTAAATAAATACATTTACTAAGAGTATAAAATGCTAAAGTAAGGTTAAATTATTACTTTCATATAATAGAATAAAAACACCGCTATAAAAACATTGCGCCAACATTTAATTGGAATAAAATATTATTTAAATTGAATATTGAATTAAAAACATCATACCAACGTTTAAAAGAATTAAAATTTTTCAATTAATTAAATTCAAATCCTTTAAAAATAAGTTTTATAGGATATAATTATTTAAAATTAAAACATATGTGGCAATAAACATCTCAGGAATTTTTGAAAACAGTGTATTAATTTTTTAATAAAAATTGAAGTACACAATTATAAGGTAAAAGAAAAATATGTGTACTTACATTTTTTAAAGTATTTTACCTGTTGTATATTGATAAGTACCAGAAAAAAAAAAAAAAAGATCTTCATCTGTGATCTACGTCTCTCTCACTTCATCGAAGAAGCAATTAGCGAGGTTTCTTCCAAAAATTTAAAATAAATTTCCTCTGACCCTTGTAACAATAAATAAATCTTTGATTAGGAAAGCAAGGTTGGCCAAAATAAGGTCTCAAACGGCATTTTTTTTATTCCGATATCAATAATTGTTGGTAATTAATTACCAATAACAAAATTCATATTCGAAACGGACACATCCTTTCGCTTTGAAATCTGAGGATTTCGAAGAGATGAATAATAAAATTTTAAAATGGCGCAGTAATGCACAAATATTCAATAACCAATCAAGGAGCTGATTACATCACGCATAGAATTAAAATTATTTAAATAATGATTCATAATAAAATCATATTTCAAAAAATGCGAAATTAAATTGTATTTTAATATTTAACAACATAAAATTACATCATGCACAACATAAAATTCCATAAAATATCAAAAAAAAATTTATTTTAAATAAAAATGCAAAATTAAATTCATTTTTATTATTTTGAAGTCATAAATAATATTTAAAACACGGAATTTATGCATAATTAAACGCATTATTTTTTAAATAAAATGACAACAAAGTATCGGTTACCATAAATAACTCGTCCAGCAATGGGTTAACGCTCGCCAAAAAAAAAAAAAAAAAAAAAAAAAAATCGCCAAAATCTGTGCAACCTTCTACCAAAGTAGCACCCATAACTAATATTTAGGTACTGGTAACTAATATTAGGTACAAAGAAATATTTTTAAAACATTTTTAATAGTATTTTTACATTTTCAGTTTCCAAGAGAAGGCAGTATCTGTGCTCTTTCTTCTTCTTGTCATGCTGTGGATATTTAGAGACCCTCATTTTATATCTGGATGGGGGAACGCTTTCCCGGTGTAAGTCGACTCATTGCGTTTTCCTTATATTTAACCTAAACTTCTTTCATTACTTCATTGAACACATTTCTGAGCATGTGACCATTTACTGCTAATATGCTATCAAGATGAGAATATACCACATATACTATTGTAATGAAGAAGAAACGTTTATTGCGTCGATATTGATCCATAAATAAAGAGAAAACTTGACAGCCGAGGCAGATTTAACAAGAAAACATTCGTAATAATTTTAAATACTACTCATTTTTATTTTAATTGGAATTTGCTGCCACAAATAACTTGCCACATTAGTCGTGTCCGTTCCAGAGCATTTATGCTTTTGATATCGTTGCAGAATCGCTCTAGATAGGCCAAGAAACGGAAGCGAATTTCGATGTATTCGGGACGAAATCTTAATTCAGAGTGATTTAGTTTCGCTTTCGATATATTTTGATTGGCTAATAATTAAACTCTAAAATTTTTATTGGCTGTAAGCTTATGTAAGTTGTTTTTGTTAGAGGGTTATATAAAAGTCAAATGATCTGGATTAATCTAGAAATGACGCAAGTTTATTATAAGTAATTGCTTTTTTTAGAATAGAAAGGGGAAATAGCCAAATTAAACTGAAGCGTTAAGATGCTATTCCAAATTTAAGTTACAATTCTGATTAGATATATTTTTACTTGTAAATATTTTACTCATAATTAATGTAAACGATTGTTGTAGACTGCTAATGTTGAGGAATAATTTCACATTTTATTTTTTTTTTCCTTTTTTACTTCCTTGTACGAAGTAAAAAGGAAGTATTGTAATCGCGAAAAGTTTCAGGCAGCATATTTCAACGAAAATATCCATTTTGACCGCTATCGAATGCAATTTACGATGTATTTGCGTGTCATCTGTACGTAAGGACATAATAAAAAACTCTTTTCCTTCAAAAAAATTATAAAACTGCTTTAAAATGGATTCGGAAGAGAATTTTTTGTAGCGTCTGTACGAACGTATGTACGCACGTACGTACGTATCTCGCATAACTCAAAAACGAGTAGCCTCAGAACGTTGATATTTTGTATATAGGACTGCTAATACATGTAGATGTGCACCTCGTATTTTGGTTGCAATCGGCCGCACCAAACGTATATAAATATATTTATATATATATCCACTCTGTTACCCGGCTCAGTGATCTCAGTATCTTTACTCTTATATGTTTGTAAATTGTACATTTTTTGCTTTCAAAATGATTGAATTATGTTGTTCTTATCTTCCGGTTAAGGTTTTTATGCCTTTAGTAAATCTGTATGCAATAGTTTTAGAATTATCAACAATTTTAAAGTTGTTTAATTGCCGCTAAGCCTAATAATGTGTTTGATGGCGGCCATTGCTTGTTTACATTTGAAACAGCAGAAAAGTGGATAATTTAGAGAAACTTAGCTTCGCCACAACAAAGATAACGCCTTCATTTATTATTGCGAATTAAATCATGCTTAATCCTTTCTGGAATGTTTTCAAGGAAATAAGTGTTTAAGATTTACTTCGTATTTTTTAATACGGATATTTTAAGTTTTTATGCATTTTTTGCCTTGCCGCGAAGTGAAAACTGAATTAATTGAATGAGAAATACTCAATCGTCTGTGAAAAACTGTTTCTTTTTTGTTTTGTTTGCTTAATTTCTTTTATACATCGTTGTAGCTTTATTATAGTATTTGAATAGAACATGTGGCAACGATTAGATAATTCTATTCTTTAAATGATATAAATTTTGTGCATTCTAAGTTATAATATGAACGAAATATAATACTGTTAAGTGATTCTAGCGCCAGAGTGTCGCTATGGTAAAGAAATACTAGAGTGAATTTTAAAGAATGCATTTATTCTATTGTGGTTTATGCGGTGTCGGCGAAGTAGATTTAATTGAATCCAATAAGTTTAAACGAAATGCAAGAAAAAATGCGTATAATTTAATATCCTGTACAAGGACGTCATGTGGTGTACACATCAGAATTTTTTTTTAAAAAGAAGAAAAGAAGATGCATCTTTTTCTAAATCTAGAACCTTCTCTTTTTCTCGTAAGAAGTACCACTAGTGGGAAAAAAGGTGAAAAAGAGAGGTTTCTCAAGATTTAATGTTACACCTTTCTAGAGCCCACCAGTTACCACTTTACCATAATCATTTACATCAAACGAAACCAACCTTTATTTAATGCTCATAATGTAAAAATTATATTAATTTTTCTTAGCAAAAAAAATTTATATTATTATACGTTTCTTCTAGGAAAATTTCGGATGCTACTCCAGCAATGCTCATTCCTGCACTCTTGTTTTTGATACCAGCTGATCCTTGGAGAATGGGACAAAGTCCACCTTTATTAGAGTGGAAAACCATACAGCAAAAAGTCCCTTGGGGAGTGATTATTCTGTTGGGGGGAGGTTTTGCCCTCGCTTCAGCCTCTGAGGTAATAATAATGTTTTAATTAGCAGTTTGTTTGCAAAAGATACTCGATTTATTAATTGCTAAGCTTCATCTGTTGCAACAGCATCAAATTTCAGAACATTTTCCCTTACCTGATTAATGCACTGGCAGAAAAAAATTAATAGAACAGCTGTAAATACTCATGTAACTTGAATGATTTTGTAGCTATGAGCATGGAATTTCCTCAGTATTTTTATTTTTTCATGCCTGATATATCTCTGAAACATACAATTAATTACCTATTTGTACAAAAAAATAATTTTTTCCCCAATGGCGGACCCAAGCCGTCCATAGACGTTGACCACCACGTCTATGGACTAACCACCACGAAAGCAGTGGTCACTTTATTATGGAGGCTGAAGGGTCCGATAAATTACATCCATACCGTCTCTGGGATTCGAACCAGGGGCCTTCGGTACGGAAGTCAAGAGTAAATAACCACTTTCATGTTTGGGCAGCATAAAATATAACTTAAAAAACGAATATAGGAAATGTGGTATAAAGTTTGTGTTACAATCTTTTAGGATACATAGAAAAAATTAAAGTACGTGGTCAGCGCTGACCGATATGCAAGCTTTACAGCAATTTTCCATTGTTTATCAGAAGGAAATTATTTCAGATTTCTTGCCTGAACAACTGTACATAAAGATGAACCATCGCATCTTTATATATTGCAGCACTTATGATAAAACTGATAAAAAAATGTGTTGGTCAGGGCGGATATTTTCCCATACCATGATTTCATCATTTTTGTACTGTTTTATCATTTTCATTGTTCTCTTCGGGCTTATTACGTGTGTTTTGGGCCGCCCAACCGCGTAACTTCTCTGACTACAATGCCGGAGACCCCGCGTTCGAATCCCGGAGAGGGTATGGATGTTTGTAAATATATATTGTCCGTGCGGAATGGGGGCACTCTAAATATGTGGCGAACCGAACGTCCTCTCGAGAGGTTGATGGTAGTGGAAGAGGAGGTGGGAGACCCTCGGACACGTACTCCCGGGTTGCTCTTCATCGAAGTTGGGGTCGGAACTGAGCTTGTAAGTATCCTAAGTTTTACTAACGTTTATTTTGTTTTAAAACTGTACTATCACTTCTTATTTTCTACTTCCGGCCAGAATTAAATGCTTTAACTTGTTTATGCAAATTGTCTTGCTAACGTCCAAGTACTTAAGTTGTGACTTTTTGCCAAGCGAGAGAGAGAAGAAGTTTTAGGAAGCAAGCCGCTTGCCACTGTAGTTTTACGAGTTTTCACTCGGTTGCTGGTTGCCTTTAAGGCCAGAGATTTAGCCCTCTTGATATTTGTAAACGTATCGTAGTTTCAGCAGCTCGGCGTACTACATATGTACCCTTTTAAATAAAGGCCTGTTTTAGTGCTAGGCATTTGTATACTAATTCAAAGTTAGCTTTTAGTTAGTAGTTTTTATATTCTTACGTTCAGACCACAAGTGGTTGGTCTCTGTATCCCGAAGTTCGGGAGTATCTGTAAAGTATTGAAAATAAAGGGTTTCGTATACCCTTCCTGCTTGCGTTGTCTACTCCACACATTGTTGAACATAGCTTGAGTAAGCTTCCTGTTCCTGTTCAGGACACATCATGTTTGTAAAGCAAATCAAGAGAAACACAAGTCCTGACAACCGTACCTGTATGCATATTTAAAACAAAAGCTCTATAATCGCACAGAGATTTTCTCTTTAAGGGTGGTACTGCTTAATCTTATCCAGCCTTACAGACGCAAAATACTTTAAAAGCGAACGTACATCCTTTGTCAGAAAAGTTACAGGACAAAGTTCGTGAAAAAAAAATATATATATATATATATATATATATATGTGTGTGTGTGTGTGTGTGTGTGTGTGTGTGATGTACCAGCTTTTGTCAGAAATAAATAGATTGCTGAAGAAATATAAAAGTAGTCGTAAATTAAATTATAAGACGATAAGTTTAGAAAACAGGATCCATTTATTATTGGTGAGGAGAAATAGCAGTTACAAAAATCATATTTCCGGAGTAAATAAAAAATAATTACTAATAACTTTTTGTATGAAGTTTACTGCATCGTAGCTCGGCGTACTACATACGTACCCCTTTTAAATAAAGGACAGTCTTAGTGCTAGGCATTTGTATACTAATTCAAAGTTAGCTTTTTAGTTAGAGTTTTAGTTAGTAGTTTTTATATTCTTACGTTCAGACCACAAGTGGTTGGTCTCTGTATTCCGAAGTTCGGAAGTGCCTGTAAAAGATTGAAAATAAAGGGTTTCGTATACCCTTCCTGCTTGTGTTGTCTACTTCACACCTTCTTGAACATAGCTTGAGTAAGCTCCCTGTTCCTATGCAGGATCATTCATGTTTCCAACGCAAATCAAGAGAAAGACAAGTCCTGACAAGCTAAATCGCCCTCTCACCTGTAAGATGCTCAAGGCTGCTGCCAACGACAGGTGCAAACTTGCTCTCCTTGCCACCAGGAATTTCGTGGACTTGGACTGACCTGGACAGACAAGTGAGCATTAACAATAACAAGAAGAGGACGTGTATTTTGCTCTCTTCAAATTGTGACAGATCTGGATTCATTTTTCAAACAAAATCGGGACGCATATTTCACAAGTGCACATCTGTGTAGCCACCGAGGGAGTGTCTTCTAGGATCGACCAATGGGCATCCAGTAATATTTCTATCATGTCACATGACCTTTTGCGTGCTTTAAAATTTCAGCAAGATGGTTGAAACTATTTTGCCACGCAATTTTCTGTACAAAATAATTAAAGCATTGTCGATTGATTTCTTCTAGAAATTTTTATTGCGAAGTTAAATCAAATATAAGCAATTGTGAAGATTCCACTACCTGGTTGAAGGACTTTGAAATACAAACAAATGTTGGACACTTCGCAAAAATATCCATGTGAAATATTACCTAATAAATGGTAAATTAGAAACAAATATGTGATAAACATCTGAGCCCAAATGCTATCTTTAGATAAAACTATGCATATGAGAAAAATATTTAAACCAGTTATATACGTAAATAGAATTCAGCCCATTTTATTGCAATCTATATGAAAAAGATGTTCCATAATAATATACAATGCAGAATTTTATTCTTTGAAAGTGAACTTTAATAATTTGCATTTGTATACATTTAGTGTGTTAAATTTCACATTTAATAACCGTTCACTCTTAAATGTACTGTCTTCTAAAGAAATACTCATCAAATAGAATTAATTTATCTTATCACAACGAATATATTCAATTTATTCACATATAATTATTAATGTTAACAGCGAATATAATCAGGTTATACACAATATGTATTCTGAATCTTGTCTCTTCAAAACCAAAAGAATGCCCGCATTGAAATAAGAAAACATTAGATTCGTTGTAGTGCTTCTTCCAGTCCTTCTCAGCTGAATTTAAAAAAAAAAAAAATTATACGCTTGAATTCTCTTAATCCACAGGTGTTAGGAAATGCATAATATTCGAGGCTAATTGTAGCTGGAGTCGCTTTCTCGATGTAAAGAGCGATAATATGCCGTGAACATCAATCCAAATATTAATGCGTGATAAAAATCGCGAACGCGAAATGCCAGAAATTAATTGAACTCAAAAAATGAAAGCACAACGAGATTTTCTATTATTAATCCATACATTTATAACTGCGAAACAAATGCAAATCAAAACGTAAACAACATACCCTCACATGCACGGAAATTCAGCGTCACAAGAGCAATAGAATCTCATTGGTTCATTTTCGAAACTCCTCCCTTAGTGGCTATGCTGATGTGCACTTGTGAAATATTCAATCGGGATTCATCAATAAAGAGACCTCAACTCTAGTCCGCGGTACTTCAATCACGTTGATTTCTGCGTCATTGCAAACGGGCGCCCACTGAACTCATGAGTGGGACACAAACCTTGGTTTTTGCGTACAACTTTTTATTATGCCTCCTGTCACTCACACTGTGTTTGGATGGACAGTCGAGTTCCTTTAGTTGAAATGAATTCTCTTGCAGTTGCTTGTAACAGAGATTTCTAGAAATCGATTTCACTTGCTAGAAAACTTCTGTGTATTGTAACTTCTGCCATCGAAAAATATCATTGTGTTATTAACCTTTTAACTGTCATGCCCGAAATAAGCACTGGTATTCCAAAATGTTACGCTTGAGTATTACCCGGGCTATTTTTTTTGGTGGGGGGGGAGAGGGCATTGTATTGTTATACCTGAATATATATTGTGAGAAGTTTATTTCGGCTTCAATTCAATAGATGGCAGAACTTTACTGAAGGTTTCAAAGGACAGAGGTTTTATGCTCAAAGTGCGCGGCATTTTTTTATTGCGTCGCAAACGTAACAAGTTTAACAGTAGGCACCAACTCGTGCCGGCTTTCTTTCTTTTCACCACCGACGGAACAGCTGGCCCACTGGGTTAGGTGCTTTTCAGCCTGTTCGATCCCGTCGATGGAATTAAAAAAAAATACATGAATAAATATAAACAAAGAGCTTAGTACTGTGTCCTCCGAGGATTGGCCACGAAACGAGGAACATTGAAGTAAGGACCAGAACATGGAAAGAAGATGCATGATGGGGACTGCTGAGACTAAGCGGAACACTTTTCACTATTATCGAACATGTTAGGCATACAGTTATATTAAGGATGTGCTATAAAAATCAGGTACAGATGTAAAGATGGCCAAATACATTACAAATTGTGGAATACATTGAATGAGTTCTGGATTAGTCATAATATTAAATGTAATTAAAAACAGCAAAATAAACAACAACAAAAAAAAAACACAAGACATTAAGTAAATTAATATATGTACAGAGCAGGCTGCTGACGGCATGGTGTCCAAGGAAAGAAGTCACTCCAGGTTGTCAGTAATGCTTTTAGCAATGGTAGTGTAGTCTCTAATGCGGCTGAGCGCATATTTATTGTTAATTGTGTTCTTGAACCATGCTGGCATATTGATTGCAGTTGGTTTTTACAAATGTGAATTCCCTGTGTGCGAGCAGTCAAACAGATAGTGATCTGACTCGTGCCGCCTGTGATCGAAGTCGACGTAAACAAGCCTAATGCAAAGAGTAGCTCAGTGCCGCAGAATATTAATCAAGAGATTCAAATTTAAAATTTAGCACCGCGACCTTCAAGCCAGCAGAACATGCTCTGTTACTTTGGTCGCTATACTGGCTTTTAGCGGGAGATATTTTTCCTCGCTCTTACCTTAGAGATTCCCGTTTCGGGCCTGACCTTTGTGGAATCCTCAATTAAATATATCTTCTAGATGAGGTGAATTTGTCGGGGAAGAAGTTTGGAGCACTCTGTCTCTTGAAAGCAGACCGGAGGCTTGGGAGCTGGTCGAGGGAGTTCCTTAGAACAAATCCTGAGATGGGGGGGGGGTTATTTGAAAACTATATACAACGACTACTCAAAATGCGCAGAAACTTGCATTCCATACGATGGAAGCGAGAGAGAGAGAGTCTTTCAGAGTCGTAAATTTGAAGAAACACAATTTTCAACAGAACATTGCCAGCGCACAGAAGTATTGTGTTGTCACTGGTTATCGTGGTCACACGGGTTTGAGTGAAGTAAATGACCAGCATGAGGTCTAATGAGTACATCCTCTTCCAGAATCTCATAGGCAAGGATTATCAGCGAAGTTTGCTGGGTTGTTCCTTATAGTTCTGTTGAAGAAATTTTCGTTTATCCTGGTGATGAGTTCTTTAATGGATTCCATCTTCAGATCTGAATGCAGGCTTCTATTTCGAATGAAAGAGGAAGCGTTTGTGATGATCCTTAGACCCTTGTTTTCGGAGAACCTGACGTTTTCTAATGTCCCTTTCGCTGGCGTTTGCCCAGGCGGGGGAAGCATACGTAGCAAAAGGTATTATGATTGACATGTAGAGCTGATTTTATCCTGTAACACCATGCTTTAATTACTCCCTACTTTCTACCTCATTTGAATATTGCGCGAGCTAGAAATTTATATTCGGCAGGGAAATAGAAACTAGACTGATATAAAAGGATATTAACATAAAGCAATGAGTTAAAAATTTAAATAATATTTACAACATCAAACGGAAACGTATGAATGTATTGTTACGTCGCACTTATCCACAATTAGTGCTGTATCGTGCTAATTGTGGATAAGCGTTCATGGCCGACGAGTACCCAAAGATTTCAAGTGGCATAGCTTGGAAGCGTACTGTTTGATAGTTTTACTAATAACATGTCATATGCGTTGGAAAAACTGGTATTACCTTTTTGAGGCTATGTTATCTAATTTCACATCCATAACGAAATTCTTTTACTATCTTTAAAAATGTGTTATACATAATTTTCGCAACTGATAATGTTGATTGTCTCAATAGAAATCTGGTCTGTCCAAGTGGGTGACGCACCAGCTTCTGTCGCTGAACATCTCTTCCCCTCTGGCAGTTGTTTCCCTTTTATCCATCATGACAGCCATACTCACCGAATTCACCAGCAATGTGGCCACCGCTAACGTCCTGCTTCCCGTCGTCGCAGAACTGGTAAGTACGCTTAATTCAAACTCATCATACGATCTGCTCAACCTCAATTTCCGGATATGATGCACGGCAACGTATCGTTTATCATAACATTTGGAGAAACGACGTAATCGTATTCGCTAAGATTTAAAAACAGGCAAAAAAGCAGTCTCAGTTCAGCGTAGATTTTAAATAAAAGCTAGATTGAGCATCATCAGGTACAACCCCTCTTCAAAAGCAATAAGATTTTTCTGATCTCTCTTTTGGAAATCCGTCCAGCAGTGGCCAAGCGACACTGCTGAACACTGACAGACGCTGAACACATACAGACGCTGAACTGACAGACGCTGAACACTGACAGTTCGACGTGGTTTGAATCCCGGCGAACGACGTAGCTATATAGTTAGTTTTGGTAGTTTTCCTTTTGTGTAACGTTCCCCTCCCCGGGGGTTGACGTAGAGAATTCTGCGAAGCTACTGGCTAGGATCTGTACCTAGGCAGTCTCGGACATGGGGGTATAAAGTTTATGAACTTGGTGGTTCTGAAGGCCCCGGGAAGGTCACTTATTGGCCGGCCTCGGGTTCTGGCATGTCCTGAGCGGTTGGATTCGTAGCCGGGGGTTTTCCGCATGGTTTGCTGGGTAACGGCCCTCTGCGACGGGCTCGTCCATGCGACTGGCAAGAGCAATTGACGACCAGCAGTGCTGCATGGTGTCATCCATGTGCTGCTCTGCTCCCCTAGAAGGGTAATAGTGGAGGTTGAACCTCCACGAAGTGGCCAAAGGGGGAGTGGACCTGTAGTGTGACTGAGTTCACGGAGCAGGGAATGCCCAAATCTTGTTTGTTTGTTTATGTGTAACGTCCCCCCGGGGGGGTCGACGCAGAGCGCTATGTGCAGTATTGGCTTTGATCTGTACGTAGGCATTCTCGGCCACGGGGGTATAAAATTTATGAACTTGGCGTTCCCATGGTCCATGGGGTGGAGCCTACCTTCACTTGTCATGGGTCGGGAGGCATAGGTCCCAGGTAACTAGGGTATCAGCAGCCGAATAGCACCATCGGGCGTCCAATCACTGCTGTCATCGGTACTCTGTGTAAAGCCTGAAGCCCGCTTAGTTGCTGGCAGGTAGCCACAAAGAACAGACAGTCATCGCTCCAAGTTCTCAAAACCCACCCCCACCGTCCGCTGTATTCACTGGGACGTTGGTCTTGGGCGATTAGTTCATCGGTGGGTATTTAGAGGAAACCTACTAAATTTGTTGATGTCTCCGGAATGTGGGGCCCGGGGCTCAGCAGAAGTGACTTCGACCATGTTCGGGTGGCTTTAACTGGAGTTTCAGCCAGTCCCTGTAATGCAATTAAGTTTGCGAGGCAGATATGAATTTATGGGACAAACTTGAAGGATCAGTTTGAGCCTCGGGTTTCCATCACTGATGTGGATCTCTGAGATTGGAATACTGGCCCGCTGTTTCCACTTTCTAGATTTTCGCTAAGCGAATAGCTACACATCTACTTAATGCTGTTAGAGCAAAGGGTTGAATCAGTAACTTATAAGCCAGATGTATATAGTATTTTGTCATTTTGGGGCATGCGCTACAAGAAACGTTTTCCAGAACCGATCACGCAGCTTTGCAAATGCTTACGAAGAAGTGAAATTTTAAGAAAAATTTACTTCTGCCAAATGCTCATTTCTAAATGTACAAACGTGCTGAAGTGGGTTGTAAATTTTTTTTTCCTTTCAGGATGTACTTGTGCGAATCCACACAAAAGTTTTGTAACATTTTTTGTTTCAGGCTGTAGCGATGCACATCCATCCTATGTATCTCATGATACCGGTGACCATCTCTTGCTCGTTCGCATTCATGCTTCCCGTGGCCACTCCTCCCAATGCCATCGTATACGAAGCTGGAGAAATGAGCACGTTGGACATGGTGAGTATTCTTTGAACTTTGCTTGCTAAACAAAATTCAGTATGTTCATTGAAGTTTACTTTTTTTGACAACATCTGGATTGCGATTTTTATTTTTGTGTATACTTTTTACGTATAGTTTTGGTAACCTTTCGCCGTTATTTCATTTACAATATTTATGAAAACATTCAGGTTAACACACAATAAAACATCGGCTATCTGAAACTTAGATACCCGCTGTTTTCCATTATGAGGGAGCAGCTATTAAGCACTCAATTTATTGTCTTTTAATTCCCAAAACTTTTAACTGGAATATCATGTCTAGTTCTCTGTGAAAATGTGTTTCAACCCACACCCTTGCCCACCAGCAGCCGAACGGTAAAAGCGGCTGAACACAAGTAGTTCGCTCCGGGGTTCGAGTCCTGGCGAACGGGCTGGCTGCATGAGCGTTTTCGTTATTTTTCCCATATGTAAAGAGGATACGAATCAGTTTCCTTTAAAAAGACCTCCACGGGGCATTCCTCTTTTTCCGTGTAGTGCCTAAGGGCGGAGCCGATAATAAGAAAAAAAAAAAAAAAAAAAAAAAAAAAAAACCCACACTTTTGGCGCGATTTTATAAATCGCGCAAAGGCTCGCCCCAGTTTCACCCACAGAAGTCGCATTACTTAAAGTAACGACAAGGGTGAGGGTCAAAGCACAATTCACCCTTAGTTCTCAAAACCTCTAGCCAGATTTCACGTGTAAATGATCTTAATGCCTCTGGAATAGTACTTCTGCAATTTGAGCAGCAGAAAAGTACACTCCTGGCTATATTTTGGTTTAAAGGTAACTGCAAGTAGTTGTGCTAAAGAACAGTGGAACCTTTTCATAAAACAAAAACGTAGACATTGAAGGAAAGAAATTAACTTGCAATCTAAAACCTTAAGACTGTACTCTAATATCTCGAAAAAAACTTTCATTCTAAACGTATTTGGTTGATCTTTACATTATGGTAACTTGGCGATTTTTTGGCGAAAATTGGCGACCAACTCTCCTACAGCAACCCTCTATTTTTTTTTCCCGCCGCCATTTTGTCTTCACGAAGTAAAGACATGTTTCTTTTCTTTTTATCTACTGAACACTTCTTCCAACAATCTACTAGCCGAATTACACTTATGCTAGAAATTTTATCTAACAAAACTGCTTAATCATGAAAAATATTCACTGCAAAATTGGGAAATAGTGCACAATACCATACTCCTTACGCGTTTTTCAAAATAACACATACACATAAACCATGTACACGTCGACTTATTTTTACTTAAAAAACATCCCAGAATTGCACAAAAATGGCATTGCGCACACTGTTCACTATATCCATGTACACTGCTTTTTTCTCATAAATTAGAAAAATTTCACGAAAATGCATGACAATTTTTTGAATCTTTAAACCCGGTAAAAAAGAACATATATGAAATTACCTGATAGTGAAAAAGTATATACCCTTTCCAAATATGAACATTTCCACGTATAAAATAAATAAAATATCCAAAAACTTTTACCTCTCAATTATCTATTATATTATAAACGTCACCAACGAATTCATACCGCAAACATTACAAATACTTAGTGTCAAATATTTAAAATATTTTCATGCACGTTTACTTCAACTTAAACGTATACCAAATTCCTACAAACATAAAATTCACAAAATAACTATCATTTAATTAAAATATCACTAAACCATGTACACGTCGACTTATTTTTACTTAAAAAAACATCCCAGAATTGCACAAAAATGGCATTGCGCACACCCTTCACTATATCCATGTACACTGCTTTTTTCTCATAAATTAGAAAAATTTCACGAAAATGCATAACAATTTTCTGAATCCTTAAACCCGGTAAAAAGAACATATATGAAATTACCTGATCGCGAAAAAGTATATACCCTTTCCAAATATGAACATTTCCCCGTATAAAATAAATAAAATATCCAAAAACTTTTACCTCTACATTATCTATTATATTACAAACGTCACTAACTAATTCATACCGCAAACATTACAGATGGTTACAAATACTTAGTGTCAAATATTTAAATTATTTGCATGCACGTTTATGCAAATTACTTTACTTCCACCTTACATTTAGAACAATGCATAAAAATAATATCCTCAAATAATTAAAAATACTAACTTACCTAATCTTCTTCAGAATCTTGATTACGTGTCCGATAAACTTTTCTTATTTCCGTTTCAGGATCTTTAAAATCATACTTATAGTTCACAGCAAGGTACCAGGTAAAATAAATAACTTAATAAAACATCTTTACTTCTATCTCGCACAACCTTAAAGAAAACACTTATTACTACCCCTGCCCCTTCAATCCCACTAAATACCCATTTCGAATTCACTTTAGTTAGGGCCATGGGATCCAAAAATTAACGAACACTGTTTCACACAACACATAATAAAGCCAAATACAAAATTTCCAGATTTTTTTCCCGATTTCCCCCATTTTCCGATTAAAGAACCGTAATTCGTCCATTAATACCACATGACATATCCCATGATCTCTCATTTCCCTCACACAAAATAATGCGTAATCGGAACTGAGTACTGCTCACATTATTACCAAAGTCCCAGGTAGTAACGTTTATCGTCGCCAAACTACCAGTTACCATATTCTAAAGATCAGCCAAGTTTTTTTATAATTATAAAAACAGAACTATAAAATTAGGATACAGTTGACTTCTAAATTAAGAACTGTAAAAGTTCTTCGCTTCTCCTCTTAAATAAAAATAATACCAACTGTTGCCAACTCATCAACCTAAATCTTTATTGCTAAATAAATTTGAAACTTAATCAAAATGAATTTTAAAAGTTCTGTTATTCTTCCGTTTCTTTATTAAACGGAAACTGATAAAAACAGTTAAACTTTAAAGTATTAAGCAGGCACAATAGTACTTGAATCTAAAATCTATATATTCAGTATCACAGTCCGTATTAATTACTTTAACGTTTCATTACGGTATTTTGATTTATTTTGGATGCAAACTATAACGGACGAAAGAAGAGTGAGAAATTTCGGAAGGTATTTATTTACATGCATATTCTGTTTATACATGCTTTCTAATATAAAATAATACTTAGTGCAATATGTTATTAATAAAACACATAAAGTAACATTTTAACGACAGCTTTTTTACGCTGAAGAGCAATACACCTTTGCAAAGGTGTATTTTAACACCTCGCATTCAAGTAAAAGTAAGTACTGAAGTAAAGTACAACTTCCGGTTGTCTGCTGAAAACTGTTGTGGGCTTCAAATAAAGTACTACTTCCGTTGGTTCAATTTTACTCAAAATCTAATCAACTGTAAATAGGAATGCAGAAAGCATAAATGAGGAAAACAGAAATTTCGGGGAGTTTTATATAAGAGTTATCGCGGCTGAAAAAATCGTCATACTCATACACATTGGCAGACATTGTAAAAACATCGGGACTCAAATTTGAGCCTATTTACTAAACACTCACTATCAAATTTTTGGACCGAAAAATATTACCTCTCTTATCTATGTCTATAGGTGATGTGACGTAAAGAAAAGAAAAGATCAACTTGGTTTAGTAAAATTTTGTACCAGCGCTGAACAAGCAATATTTTTTTTAATTAAGTATTCTTTCAGTAAAATAATTTCTTTATACCTGTTTTCTTTAAATAATATTTCAGTGAAACAACTTTATGTTTTGCTCTTCTTTTACATATTATTTCATTAAAACACCTTCATGTTAAGTTCTTTTAAATAATTATTTCCTTAAAACATCTTTCTTTTTCCATTACACAACTTCTGAGATATCTCAGATCTTTTTATTTACGTCGGTAAAAGAACGCAGAGAATGATTTAATGTCAGGCCGTTAATTAGTAAAAAACTAAAAGCTGCATTTTTAAAAGTATGCATTTTTCAAGTGAAGGTGGTATCAAATGCATTGCAATGGTTTTTTTAATTAAGATTTAGGAATATATAATGGTGTAAAAAAGCAAGATCTTATTATTTAAATAACTATATTTCTTTAAATTTAACTTCAGAAAATAGATTTTGCACTCAGAACAACATAGACAAAAAGGTTTAAAACGTCATTTTGAATATATTTCAGGACTATTCCTACCTGCCAAATTATTCCTACCTGTCAAAAGGCTATCTCTGAATTAAAGCATAATATTTTATTAATCAAATTTTTCTTCTGTGAGACCTATACAAAAAAGGTGGAAATAATTATAAACTGAAGGCCCATCGACCGCCACTCATCCATCGAAGAAATTTTTGTTGTTGACTATAGATGGAGCCACCATATGCGAAAGCGGTCTAACTGAAGCAGAAAGATCTGGTGGGGCTGAATTGCTAAATTTATTATATAGATAAATAGTAGTTTTTGAAAAGGCTTTCAAAAACTTCTGCGCTTTATTTTGAAGAAGTTTGTAATTTATAAATAGATGCTTAGGATTCATAATGAAGTATGTAAAACCTATTGCCACTTTCTTCGAACATCAAAATGGTTCACGTATAGCATTAAAAGGATATAGTATCTAGCAAAAAATATAAATTTTAAAAGTGCGAATAAGAATTTTTTTTAATAATATTCAAAAACTATAGTCCTTCAGAAAAATCTCAGTGATTGTATAAGAGATAAAATAACGTTTCTTAAACCCATATCTGACAAAAGAAAGAAATGGTCGAAAACTGTTCCTTTAAAATTTTGCGTATAGATGGCGTCACTACATCTTTCCACGAAATTTGCCATTGCGGTTGAGCCAATTTGCCATCGACCGCCACTCATCCATCAAAGTAATTTTTGTTGTTGACTATAGATGGAGCCACCATATGCGAAAGTGGTCTAACTGAAATGGTAAGATCTGGTGGGGGCTGAATTGTTAAGTTTATTATATAGTTAAACATATTTCATTTTTACTTGATTGAATTTCTTGATTAATTGTTTTTAATCGCAAATTCATTAGATTTCTTGTTTTGTCTTTTCAGTCTGT